GACAACTCTCAGTGGAGGAAGAAGAGAGTAAAGTGGCGGACTGGGTAAGCTATGGCACATGGGACTTCTTGAGTTTATCTTTGCTAGTCCCACAGAATGTATTACATAAACTGATCGCAAGAATACCCCCAATGATAGAAGCTGGTGAGGATTTCTTATCATGGAATGCAACGACTGACGGCTCCTTCACGGTGAAAAGTGCTTATTACATGCTGGAGCGTTTCTTTGACACAACTAATAGCAGTGTTTACAAAGCTATTTGGAAATGGAAAGGCATAGAAAGAATACGTGTGTTCATGTGGCTAGCAGTCCAAAATAGATTACCTACAAATGTGTGGAGGAGTTTCTGGTCATCTAATTCTCCTTTATGCTCCCACTGTAATCTGGTGAGGGAAGATACTATACACATCTTGCACGACTGTGAGTACGCTAAATACTTATGGAAGCAGATTTTACATCCAAGGTATCACTCCTCTTTTTTTGCTGCTAACATTAAAGATTGGTTCGCTCTCAATTTGAAAAGAGACTTGGGGGTATTTAATGATGGTAATTGGGAGTTGATTTGGGGAGTATCTATCTGGAAGCTCTGGAAATGGAGGAACGAAGCTACCTTCAATCCAAACTTTGTTAAACCTGATGAACCAGCTCTTGTTATTCTGAATAGCTGGAAGCACTTTGTTCAGTATGAAGTTGAATCTCACAATGAATACTCTGCTAGTAGCACTATTTTCTTAGCTTGGCAACCACCCCCTAGAAATTGGATCAAATTGAATGTAGATGGTGCTGTGTCTAACTCGTCTGCTAGAGCAGGATGTGGGAGAGTCATCCGAGATCATAATGGATTATGGATTGCTGGATTCTCCCATTTTTTGGGGTCTTGTTTGGCATCAGATGCAAAACAATGGGCTATTTATAAGGGCCTGCAACTTGCTTGGGATATGGGTTTCAAAAACGTCATCCTAGAGTCTGATGCTCTGAATCAGATTAATCTTCGAAAATCTAATGGACCCTCTCATAATAGTGGTCTTTTAGTGTTGTAAATTCAGAAGATGATTAAACTGCCCTGGAATGTGGAGATTACTTTCATCGGCAGAGAGAAGAATCGGATTGCGGATCACCTTGCGAAAGAAGGACTCTCTACCAGCTCGCTGTTAGACTCTTGTTCGCCTAGGCTTCAAGACTTAGTAGCTTCTGAGTGTATGGGATTCAATCCCCTAGATGTTTGATTTTTAAGTTTTTGGGCTTTGCCCTCTCTTGTTACCAAAAAAAAAAAATACTCTTCCGGTTCTTAATATAAGACCCAATTCTTGAGTTGATTTTGGTCCTTAATATAAGACCCATTTTTCATATTTATTAATTTTTTCTAAATTATCATTATAAATAATATCTCAACCATAATTAAGTAGAAGAGGAAGATGGGGTATTAAGAAAAATGATTATGGTGTTTTAGGAAAAATGTGTTACTTTTCTCATAATTAACTAACTTACCTAACTTCATTAATCTAATCAAATTAGTTAAATGGGTCTTATATTAAGGACCGAGGAGTATTATTTTTATTATAAAATAAAATTAATTGTAAACATTTTATATATTATATTTAATCATATTATTTTAATTATGGCAGGTCTAGTTGTAATTGTACTGTTGCCTGGACCGATTGAATGATGAATCCAATTTTCAATAAAATGTTATCCCTGGGTGAAATTACATCCCGATTTCGATTTCTTGAGTCATTTTTCCTGTAAATAAATTCCAAGAGGATATATATAGTCAACTAAATTTGTACATAATAGTTAATAATCGTATGAATTATAATCCTGAAAATATATCTGTGTAATCAATGTAAAATCCACTTCTCATAAGCAGAAAAAATGTAACGTTACTTATAATTTTAAGATTTCTTGCTTGTGCAAATTAGTCGATCGATGTTCCCCATACAGGAGTATATATAGTTTGAATGAGAGATTATGTTTGTATAAAGATTAGTTTATTTCAGGTAATTTTACACCAAGTAATGTAAATATTTGGGGGAAAAAACTGGTTTCACAAAGTACAAAAGATTTTTTCCCCCCTTAGCTAAGGTGAGCAAGGAAGTCCATGTCGTCATCCCATCATTGAGAAGCCTACTGAAGATAAGCAAAAAATCAAAAGCGGGGCCCACACCTTGGAAAAATTATTCAAGTCACGTGAAGTTTCGTTGTGTTTTCCATCTTTTTTTCGTCTCATTTTAAAATATAAATTATCTTTTTATTACATAATATAAATGAACAAAAGGAAAATTAAATGCCAACACATGCTAAAAAAATCTAGACCTATTCAAAATGCTCGTAGTATCAGCTGCGAGACATTACAGATTTCAAGAAGGATATCGAGATTTTAATGGAAATAACTTAGTATAATCTTGTATAGTAAAACATTTTTAAGGGATCAATACAAATTCCGAGAAAAGTGGCTTTTCACTCAACAAGTTAAAATATTAGCATATAGAAATAGTATTTTCTCTTACAGGGAAGGATACCCATCAATTTAAATAAAATTTAAAGAAAACAAGGAACACTGTTTTATGCAACTTCTGATTAGTTCAAATTATCAAAGACTGTTTTCGGTAATTTTTCAAAAGTTGATGGATATGAGACCATGACGTATCAGCATGAGAGGGAAGAGGTGACAGTCATGAACATAACACATGACCGTAATCAATAATAGTTACCAAGTGATATTTTAAAATTATAAAATAAAAAAATTTAATAATAGATTAGTAGCGAAAATTTTCGTCACCAATTTGTAACGGAATTTTCTATCACAAATCCGTCACTATTTTGTGACAGAATTTTTACGAAATATCCGTCACTAATTAATAACGGAAATTAATGACGACAAATTTATGTCACTAGTTTCAATCGCTAGTCTGTTAATAATTAGCGATGAAATTTTAAATTCTGTCACTAACTATTTAGTGAAAGTGGAATTAGTGACACAAATTCCGTCGCTAACTAAATTTTATTACTAATGTATTACTAATTTTGATTAATGATAGAAATTTCGTTATTATATTCAGTCGCTAATTTATTATTATTATTTTTACAGTGATTTAGTTATAACATACTGCCGGGTGATATTTACAAATCATGCTTTTTGTATTGTGCCTTATTCCCTGGGTGTTATAGCTTCATCAGCGAACAGTAACGAAACATAGCGACAGAATAATATTTGGTCAGTAACAAGCTGTTGTTTTTTTTTTTTTTTTAATTGTGTGATGTGCCACTTCTATTCAAAACCATACCCTTTTTGTGTAAAATATTTGAGCTTTTTCAAGATAACATTCAACAATCTAAATTTTTTTTCAACAAAACCTGGTATGTTAAAATAATCTTTTGTGCACTCATCATAGAAAAATATTTTTTTTAATAACAGCTAGTATCTAGCAACTTACGCGTTGAAGTATATGTTGGTATAAAGATTATTTTATTTCAAGTAATTTTATACCCTCTAATGTAAATACTTGAGGAGATAAAAAAAAAACAGGTTTTTTTTTACCGGCCAAAAAACCAAAAAAAAAAAACCGGGTTCACAAAGTATAAAGGAATTTTTCTTCTTAACTAAAGTGAGCGCTGAGGTCCATTTCATTGTCACATTCTTGATATTGAAAAGTCTACTGAAGATAAGCATGAAATCAATAGTGGCTTATAATGGGAACAAGTCTGGTGACACCTGTCCCTATAAAGGCGCCAAAAAATTCTCAGCTTTGTGGGAACAAGAGAATAAGTTAGGGGCCCACACCTTTGAAAAATTATATTTGAGTCACATGCAGTTTTGTTGTCGTCTCCTTCTCCTAGAAAAGTTGATACTGATGCGTTACGGGTTGCTTTGCAGAGGCCTTGCAATTTGTGGGTTCCATATGTTGTTCTCCATCTTCTTCTTTTTCTTTTTCTTTTTTTTTTGGGTCCTTTCTAGCAACTTGTTCTGTCTGTTTTCCCCAACTTTTCTGTCTCTTGATCTCTTCCACCTTTTTCATTACATAATATACACAAACAAAAGGAAAATTAAATGCCAAAATATGCTTCAAAAATCTAAAACCTATTAATGCTAGCGGTGTCAGCTGCAAGACATCACGGATTTGAAGAGGGATAACGAGATTTTTATGGGAAAAACCAAGCAAACTCTTGTCGAGTAAAACACTTTTAAGGGATCAATGCAAATTCCACGAAGTGGTTTTCACTCGATAAATATTAGCATATAGAAATATTATTTTCTCTTACAAGGAAGGATACCCATCAATTTAAATAAAATTTCTGCGGAGGATTCCTGTGTGACAACAATGACCAATGGATTCGTGGATTTAGCTGCAAGTTGACAACAGTTCCCCCTCCGATTGCTGAACTAATAGGGTTCATCCATGGTCTCAGTATTTGGTGGACTAAAAAATATAGGAAAATTTTCCTCTTTTCTGATTGTATAACTGCTATTAATTTTGCTATTAGAGGCTGTGACATTAATCATCCTTTCACAGATGTTATAGATAATGTTAGACTTTTATTGAATAGGGATTGGCAGGTCATAATCTCTCATGTTTAAAGAGAGAATATGGTCATGGGTGATAGGCTAGCAAAGTTCTTGCATAGGATAGAAGGAAATTTTTCGCTCTTTGATTACCCTTCCCCTCTTAATCAGCAGGTGGAGGTTGATAAAGGATATGATTGTTGGCAGTCTTATGTTCTCTGATTTTTTTTTCCCAGTTAGTTATATAGTTCTTATTCCCAAAAACAAAAAAATTAAAAGAAAACAAGGAACGCCGTTTTATGCACGTTTCGAGTAATTCAAATTATCAAAAACTGTTTTCAGTAATTTCTCAAAAGTTGGGTTGGGTCATCCACTTCAATAATTGTCCTCCAAGCTCTCTCCAACTGATAGCCAAACATTGCTATTCGCCGTTCATTGCATCTCTGCCTTCTTCTCAATTTCTATATCCACTACTTCTTTGGTGCGTCCAAACCAAACCATGGCCGAATTTATTACTCCAGTCATTGACGTCCTGACTTGTTTGTGCAGTTGTTGCGCCAAATGGGCAGATCCAATATGCAATCTAGGAGACAACCTCATCTCTTTGAGAAATGCTTCTAACCAACTCAATGACATGTATCTTGATGTCAAGATGAAGGTCGAAACGGTAGAGAAGGCTCCAGATCCAGAGTTGACGGTTTTGAATCAAGTAAGGGGTTGGATGGGCAGAGTAGAAGCCCTACAAAATGATGTCCAGGCCATTCTACAGCAAGGTGATCAAGAAATACAATCCAAGTGTTTTGGAGATTGTTGTCCCAAGAATTGTTGGGCTAGCTACAAGCTACACGAGGACGTTACCCAGAAGCTGAGTGATGTTAATGATCTTATAAGCAATGGGCATTTTGATGTTGTCGCAGAAAAGTTTGCTCGTGATCAGTTTGACGAACTTCCTGTGGACAAGGCGGTGGGTATAGAATCAACATTTGAGGAGCTACGTTCATGCTTTGAGAACAACCGGTTGGGCATCATTGGTTTGTATGGGATGGGTGGGGTAGGCAAAACAACTCTACTGAAGAAGTTCTACAATGATTACCTCTCAACAATGCCACAATATGTAGTCATCTGGGTTGAGGCATCTAAAGATGTAGATCCAGGAAAAATACAAGAAGACATTAGGAAGAAATTACGCATCAGAGATGATATTTGGAATAACAAGACAGTGGATGACAGAGCTCGTTTGCTATACAATATCTTGAAGAACAAGAAATTTGTGTTGTTAGTAGATAATGTGTGGGAAAGGATTGACTTGTTGATATTAGGGGTTCCCTCTCCTAAAAATCATGAATGTAAGATAATATTCACAACTCGATCACAAGATATATGCGGCCAAATGGAAGCACAGAGAAGCATAAAAGTAAATTGCCTCACATCAGATAAAGCATTTGACTTGTTCAAGGAGAAAGTGGGTGAAACTACTCTTGAAAACCCTCAAATATTGACTCTTGCAAAGCAAGTGGTGAAAGAGTGTCAAGGCCTACCACTTGCTCTTTGTACCGTTGGACGTGCCATGGCTAACAAGGTGACTCCCAATGAATGGAGGCGTGCTATAGAAATTTTGAGGAGTTATCCATCAAAGTTCCAAGGTATTGTTGAACGTGTCTATTACTTGCTTGAGTTCAGTTATGACAAACTGCCAGATGATACCTACAAATCATGTTTTTTGTATTGTGCCTTATTTCCTAATGAGCATTTTGGCTGTCAAAAACAGAAGCTTATTTTGCTCTGGATAGCAGAAGGTTTTTTAGATGAATTTGACTATGATATACATGAAGCACGTAAGCAAGGAGAAGATATAATTTTAAATCTAAAGGATGCTTGCTTATTGGAAAATGGTTTGTTAGAAGATGAATTTAAGATGCATGATGTCATAAGAGACATGGCTCTCTGGGTAGCCTGTGATCATGGGAAAAAGGCAAAATTCTTTCCAGGAAATGGTTTTGGGACTAGTCGCCTTGAAGTATACAATGATCCAAAGTGGAAAGAGGTAGAAAAGCTGTCATTGTGGGGCAGGGGTGCAGTGAGCACAAACTTCTCACAAAAACCTCATTGTCCTAATCTCATCACTCTGCTTATTGGCCGTAGCGAAATACGAGTCTTTCCAACTGAGGTATTTGTTCTTCCAAGGATTATTAGAGTGCTAGACTTGTCAACAAGTTTCGAAATAAGAGATCTACCATCAGAAATTGGGGACTTTGTAAACCTCGAACACATGAACCTATCGCGTACTAGTATAAGAAAATTGCCACAGGAGTTGAAGAATTTGAAGAAGCTGAGGTTCTTGTTGCTGGACGACCTAGGAGAGCTTGAATTCCCAGAGAAAGTTATATCCGGTTTGTTATCCCTTCAAGCTTTTAGCACGAGAGGGTCAGAAATTCGAGGGATTGATGAAAATGTGTTGTTGGATGAGCTAGAAGGCTTAGATCATCTTCAGGATATGCGCATTTCTGTCTATAACACATCCTCTGTTGAAAAAATACTGATCTCCTCAAAATTGCAAAAGTGCATATGTGAGCTATTTGTTACAAGTGTACACTCATCAATCCACGACTTGTTCTCATCACTAGGAAATATGGAGCATCTTGAAACATTACGAGTTTTGAGTTCTAAGGCTGTGGATATTCCGAGGCGCTCATTTCGGGGACATGATTATACAATCACCCTTCGAGATTTGGTTCTCAATAGGTGTGATAATATAGTTGACTTGAATTGGCTTATAAATGCTCCAAACCTTGAAGTCCTTCAAATAAGCCATTGTGATTCATTGGTTGAAGTTGTGAGTGAAGATTTTGGGACTGCTGACATTGAGAGAGTGAAAAGGAATCTATTTTCTAGTCTCACTTGTCTTCATTTGCAATATCTGAGTAACTTAAGGAGCATTTGTAGAATAGTATTACAGTTTCCTTGTTTGAAGGAGATTCGAGTAGCACAGTGCCCCAATTTGAAGAAGCTCCCACTTAATTCTCAAAGTGCATTGAAAAGCTTACAATACTTTAGAGCAGATCCTGATCAGTTGTTTGATCAATTGGAATGGGAAGACGAAGCAACGAAGCATCTTCTTTCATCAAAACTTGCAAGGTAATATTTCTGTCAAGTAAAGGGAATCAGTTAAAGGCTTTAGAGTAAAGTTATTCTTACTTTGCAATTGCTAATGCTTTTTTATCGGTCACCCAAGCACGGCATGCATATAAATATTTATCATGAGATTATAATGTCTGTGAATAATTTATTTTCCCAATATTTCATATGGATCGTTGCACTTGAATTTCACAACCTTTTGAAATTTCTAGAATTTTTAATTAAAGTACGCACAGTATACTTCTAAGCCGTTTTCAAGATCTAATATTTTAGTAAAATAGTAAATGATATATGCGTACAAATTCTTTTTTACGTATTTTAAAAAAACCACATGTTTCTTTTTTGGTAAGAAAATTGCATATATATCATTGCACGCACACATGTTAAATTATATATACAAATAATGTAATGATATTTTATTTTAAAAAGCAACAAGTAAGAGAAAATTTACAAGAGAGTAACGGGCATTAAACCAATCCCTAGGAAATTTATTGATTTATAGAATATAAAAAAGAAATATCAAAGCATTAATTATTCTTCTTCATCTGCTGCAGTACTAGTAAATGGTTTTCTTTCTTTACTATCAAGAGCCTTCGAGGGTAAACTTTGCATGCAGGGAGGAAGAAAGTTTATGGAGTACCATTTATTGATATTACAGCGCTATGTGGTTTGAGTTTCAATTAAATATGCATCATCAAGGCATCAACTGCAATGCTTAATATCTAATTTTCGAATGAAGATTAAGTCTTTACTTTTATATATTCCACCATTCTTTACTTTTATGAACCATTCTTCACATTTATGAAGGGCACAAGTTTCTGTATGAATTTGCTATGTTATTGACAGCAAGATATTTAATTTGCAGAGGTACTTATATAATCCAAATCAATCAGCATAGCTTGAAGTACATGATTGATGAAAGGATGGTTATTGTACCATTTTAGCGTTTAGCATCTCCAAATGGCTTTGACTGAAACATTTGTCTCACTCCTTTTCCTTCTTTTTTTTTTTTTTTCACTTCTAAACATTTGTTTAGGCTCCGAAGGTTTAGAAGCTACTATAGAGAGTAGCAAAATATTGCCATATTAGGGACATGAATCAGTTGCATGACTTATTATTAATTAATTCTTTTTCATGCCTAGTTAAAACCATTAAGCTATTATATGCAATAAATTTATTAAAACTTATATATGGAATAAAATGATTTATCAAGTTTTCAAATTTTGGAATAATTAATTAGTTTGTTAATATAATTAAGGAAAAACTAGGTTGGAGATCTCTAGTTTGCCTCAGTTTTCAATCAGGCCTTTTTTTCTCCCCTTTTGACTGGCTCATTTAAGTTGACACCGTTAAGTCGCTTAGTCCCTAAAATTAAAAACTGTTAAATAAATATTAACAGTATTACTGTTACTGATAAATAATTTTATTGTATGCTTTTTTTTTCCCATGGTAAATTTTTGTAGATTCATTCTGACCTCAAGTAAGGTACTAATGCTATAGCATATGGCCCGCTCCCAGGCAATCTCTGCCGCTTCATATCCTACGGCCATCTACGGTTTCACGCTAGCACTGCCTCCTTTTCATAAAACCAAAATCTAATCCCCATTCACTTCCTCCACATAGTTCCCTTACCTAATGACTTTTTGGCAAACTATTTTCCTCTCTCTGATTAACCTTCGTCCAGTGTCCGATGGAAGCCTTGCACTCAAAGCCATTTTCTTCTTCTCTCACCTACTCTTCAAGTTATTCCATGCTCCTATGCCTGCGGGAAAGTAATTAAGTAAAGATTTCTCGCTGCCCAAATTCTGATGAAGTTTTCCGTCTAGCTTCGGTGATGAGTTGCGATTTTGGACGATGAAAATTTTGCTTGATTCCTTGATTTTGTTTATGCGTTTTCTACAGGTAATAGGTATAGTAGATGGTGACTGTAGTTTTCTTGTTTTAGTAGTCTCCTTGATTTTTCTGGAAGAGAAAAAATTTTTATCAATTCGATTTACACTCTGAATTTTGGCTCCACTGGTAATTGTGACACGTTTTTTTTTGGGGGGGGGGGGTAAATTCATATCCATTGAGTTCAAAAAATGAAGTAAAACTGCACAAATTTAATACTTCTCTCCGCCGCATGCCTTCAACTAAGATCAAACCATTGATCTAGATTCCCGAAAGCTCAGGGAAGCAGTGGTTCGAACTTCGAAATGATTTTGGCGAAGCTAGTTTTGAAGTTGTGGCCAAGAAAGTTGTTTTTCTTTGACAACTAATCTCCAAGTCTGTTGAGGAATTTCTCATCGGAGAAACTCGAAGCCACCAACGAATACTCATCCAACAGAGATGGAGCACGATCGGAGTCCGAGCTAGGTTCACTTCGCTCGCCGAAAATGGTGCAGAATTTCAATGAGACAGATGAGAAATAGCCGTCGGCGGCTAAATGCAGCCATAATCGCTGTAATTTCCTCTATAGCAGAACGAAGGAGGAATGAACAGAGATATTGAGCAATGAACGAACAAAGAAGGAGGAAGGAGGGTTTTGGTGAAACTTTTGGGGTTGTGGGGGGAAAGAGATAGATAACGGTCATTAGTTAAGGGACTAATAGATCTAATTGTGTAAAGTGAAAAGATCGATTCTTTTTTTTCGGCGGAGGGTTGGCGGGCATTAGGGACTAGATTCAAAACTGAGGCAAATTATAAGAACTTGTAAATTAGTTTTCCTTGTATATTAAACTCTATATACATTAACACACATATATGCTAAGTTATATATAAAAATAATATAATGATATTTTATTTTGAAAAGCGGCACATAAGAGAAAATTTACAAAAGAGTAACGGGCGATGATGTTGATTTTCTCAATTTCTGGTGCTAATGACTTTTATATATTCCACCTCTTGGAGCTACATTAATTTGTTACTTCCTGGTCTCAGTTATGTCTGTGAAACACATCCAAACTTTGTTCTTTGATATCCAAGGTTTCTTGAGTCCAAGAAAGGTGGAACCAATCCTATTTGACGTATGCCGCGTAATAAAATAAATCCCCTTTAACTTTTTTCCTCTGTTCTCCAATCCAATCGCGTCCAAGTGCTAAATTTCCAATATCAAGGCAGCAGCCAAATGATTCAGACGGAAGCCTATTGGCAGCACCAAACTAGAACTAACAAAAAACAACAGAAACAAAATACAACAGAACACAAAAATACAAAATTTTGTTCATACAGGTATTCATTAGAAAAGAATAAATCATACCGTGCAATTGAAGGACCAAAATGGAAACTAGATTAATGATAAATGAAGGTACACGTCAGATTTACAAATATCTAAATGTACAAAGAGATGTCTGTTTGCTCATGTAGTCACAAAATCTCCTGACATAATAGCTAACAATGAATACCTGGCCTTGATGGAGATTTTGCCTCCCTCTATACAGAGTTTGGCTCCAGTGACCACCCAATATCCAGGCGTGTCTTCTGGACCCCTTACTTTTTCCTTCGTATCCACAAAGCTGAGCATTTCTGGGGCCTTTATCGGAACAGGTGCCTCAGTACCAGACTCACCATTATAAACTATCGGTTTTATGCTATCTTCAGTCGGCTTTTCATTCTCAATCACGTCATGCAGTTCCTTGGTCAGCATTGTGCTCATCAATGCTGAAAAGAACCCTGACTTTCGAAATGGAAACGGAGATCCATCCCATTCTGATCTATAAATTTCTGCTGATTCTACCAGGGAAAATCCAAGCCTCAAGAAAAGAACTTTTCTCCTTTTCACATGCTTGACCTCAAGCCAGGCCTTCGTTACAATGGCTGGGGGCTCATCATCAAGGGAACTATTGTACAATACTGGCGCTGTGCAGACATGTGAAAACCTTTTCCACTTCACAGGTTCAAAGTAGGCTTTGTCAACTGGCTCATCATTAGATTCACAACCCATATCATAAGAGATTTTAAGGATTTGTGGAAGATTTGAAAGATGCTGCAGATGGATAGCCAGATGGTCACTCTTTCTGCCTTCCAAGAACAAGCGAATACCTGTAACAGGACAATATCCAGAGTCAACCTGCATATTTGTAAAGTTAAAAGGCAGAATGTCAGGTATTATTGAAAAGTAATGAAAAATAGATGCAAAATGATGCCTATACTCCTACTTAATAATAACAATAACAATAATAATAATAATCATCATCATCATCATGACAAACAATGTTTACTAATACCAATAAAGATATAACGAACACTAATTAAGAAGTAAAAATCAACCTTGTTTTCCATGATTACCTTCCTTTCCGTACACCAAACATGGCTTTGAAAATGTTTGCGGAGGAAAACTAAGCATGTAACGAGACCGCAAACAATCTTAAGAGTGAACCTTTCTACATTGCTTGGTGGTGTATGTGGAATTGCCGCAATGGTAAAGCAAAGACAAAATACATGAATACAATGTGATTTTTCCCCTCCTCTTTTAATGTAGGCTTACGCAACTTTCATTTCAGACTTTAAATAATGTAATAACAAATTACCTTTATGGTGTTAACATAAAGCTTGGATCCGAACAAGGTGAACTGGAGTGATGGCGCTTTGTTCTTTTGGCATCTAGGACGAAATCCATGAAGCACATCATCATACAGTGGAGACCATTGCCGAGGCAACTGAAATTCAAGAAATTGACGAAGTTCATCTATGTGGGGTTTATCTGCATCAAATAAAAACTCATTTAACACCCACACTAGATAAACCACATTTTTTGAATCCGTATGTAAGATTATTCTTATCTTAACTGCAGTATCAAAAATCAATGAATCCTCAATGGCTTAATCAGAATGTTTCAGAACAACTCTAGATGAATTTACATGAATTTATTTGAGATTGCTCTCATCAAATAATCTAAAATATGTTAATGGATGGGAAGTTTAATGCTTCCAAGGAATCAGGTCAGAATGTATATAGGAGTGAATGTGAAAGAATTGCAAATGAGTAATCATTATACGCATGCTCGCTAGGATGTTAATGGATAATGCTCCCCTAGTTGCATTCTACCCTTGAAAAACATTTCCGTCTCAAATATAGAATCAAATGGAATAAAATGCCATGCCAAAAGTTTAATCTTTACTCACAATAATCTCATTTTCCATCCTCCTAGAACAAAGACTAACTGGTCAAAATCAAAACCTTTCCACTTATCCTTCCAAGCCAGAGGTTTCAATGGTTCCAAGACACATGATAGATAAGGACAAGTTACATAATATCAGACTTGCCGAAATGCAGAGAAAATAGACCACACTAACTTAAGCAATAATAATGTCAAATGAAATTGAAGATAGTATATAGAGATTGAAATTGGCATCAAGAAATGTGTACACACATCTGAGATACAAACTCATTGCATGGCTTAGGAACCCATGGCCCAGACTGGAACTAAGCAGTGAAGTAATAGGCACAAACAGCATTGATATGGCCTCAGGTGACTGTGATATGGTAGAAAGCCAGTCCTTATGGTGCTGGTGAATGCCAACAACACCTCCCCTTCGAACAGAAATGCTTATGAGATCCTGTTGGAAGTATATTCAAATAACAGCCCAAATGTGATAACAGCAAGATGGTTGCTTGATGCGTTGAAGAAGCAATAACAGTTGAAACTAATACCAACCTCCTTGGTTGAGTGACTTTTTACAATTGGTCTAACTGCTGCAGCAAGAGCTACATCAACCTTCCATGGCTCATCTCCATCATCCTGCAAAGATTACAGAAAACATTTTTAATATTGAAAATTGTTCTTGAACGAACGAACGAACGAACGGACACACGCACGATGCATGATGCAAGCACGCACGCGCACAAAAATTATAGCAAACTAGCGTAGTCTTATTATCAACAAATCAATTTATGAAGAAAATATCAACATATTTCCCATTCCCATTCACCACAATGGTTCCTGGTAATTAAGATGAAATTCATAGTGTTACTATCAGTAAAAGCAAGAAGAAAAAAGGGTAAAACTGCATACCATTGAGAGAGCGAGAGAGAGAGAGAGAGAGAGAGAAACGAGATGAAATTGTTTCATTAAATTCAGAATGCTAAACTCACACTTATAATGGTTCTGAATCATGAACAGAAGCAATAAAAGAAAAGTTACGTGTGAGGAAACTCAGATAAGTGTGCAGGTAGACTATTTGTATTTAAAACTTAATTTTGGTAATAAGGTCAAGAAGAAAGGCTTGTGCATGGCATATTTTCCACAGTATATATAATCCTCTTTAGACAGCTAAAAACAATGGTGATGCATTTAATCTTCTGAACCTTGAATGTTACTGATATTCCAGCTTGATCAGAGCCGGAACATGCATCTCCGTCTTCAGAAAACCTCTTATCAGCTTCTTTCTTAAGCAATCTCTGCACTTCAGTGGGTTGAAGATGTGAGCTTTTGAACTGCTTCATATGAACCACATCCTTACCTCCCATCTTCACCCCAACAACAACATGGGTGCCATATTTCTCAATGAACCTGAAGAATTATGTCTTATTCAGCGTACCATTCAGGTGAAAGAAACCTAAAAATTTTCTATGGATGAAAGATAAGAAAAAGTAGGTTCAAAACTCTCTAGACTGCTAGCATCTTAAATATCTATATCTATGATGCTAGTCTTCCTAGCAAGAGCTTACAGTTTATTGACTTTCATGCAATATAAGTTTGAGTAAATTATCAATGATCAATTGTTACAGTCAGATTTTGAAAGTAAACCCCATCAGGTTGCAGGTCTATTAAAAGAATTTCCTGAAGGTATCAAACTGAATTTCCATGATTACACAGAATAGATTCTGCGGTCACATCAGAAATAATCTTATTCAAACAAAGGTTTATTACAAAAACAACAACAACAAAAGTAAAAATAATAACAATCAACTACAGTAGTAGTAGAAATCAAATGAATGAATGAAAGTATAAAAAGAAGGGGAAAAAAAAAACAAATATACTTACTCAGCAAGGGCAGCAGGGTTCCATGAAGTAGGCACTTGGTTTTTCACATGCTCAGAGAGGGTTAGGTGGGCTCTATCTAACTCAACACTATACAAAGTTAGGAACCAACCATCAAATGCAAGGGTTTTAGTAGAACCTGCATCTTTCTTCCAACTGCCCCTCATGTCAAACATGGCATTGAATAAGCCAGACGGAACCTTCCCAGATAAAGATAGTGCTAAATTAAATTGTTCAGACATCTGCAACAGGGCAAATTTGGAAGTATTTCCATGACTCAAATTGCACCAAATGTAGATATGAAGATATGTGTTATGTGCATGTTAGTCGATCAGGTATATCTCTCAAAAATTACAATTGTACAAACGTGGTTTCATGCAAGTGTAAACTAGAAAGTTAAATGATTTTCATTTTTGAAATCATATATGGATGCTAAAAGAAAATCAGAGGTAATAGTAGCGCATGGTTCTTCAACGAAAAAATAATACACATAAGAGACCATTTTTTTTCCAATTGGAAAGCTTGAGCAATTACTTGACATCCTTCAACCTCAATCTAGTTAGAGATTTAATGTATACATAAATTACTTCCCTTTAGTTTCAGTGTCTATTAGGAACTTGTTATCAATCATTACCCAGTCTTTTCTATTACTTCTTTCACAGTTACAAGTGTCGTTGACTGCCTCCAACGTTACCACTCTTTTTTCATTTTTATTTCATTCTATTATGTCTACTAAACGTTTACGTGGATTAAGCCAAAATTCGAAGTGGACGTTTACATACTTACAGGTGTAGAAGAAGCCGTTTACAAGTGTGGAATAGAAAAACTTTACAATATATTACAGGGATAAATCACCAGAATCACATGTTTATCCAAGGGAACAATAACGCCACTGGGAAAGTTACCTGATGGAAGGAAAGAACTTGGGAGAAATCTCTGAAGCTTTCCCCAGGATGGCACTTGATGGATGCAGAAACGTCGGGAACAGTAACGCCGCCGGGGAAGACGAGGGCCTTGCTCCGGTTATTGGGAAGGTCGACGACTCTGTCCTTGCATCCCGACAATCGAACGTCCCTGCAAACATCATATCCCAATCCAATCGCAGCGACCGCTTTCTCAGCTGCCAACTGCTTATCCAACCCTCCGTTCCTTAAGCTCGTCATTCAACTTTCCCTAATTCATTGAAGACAGTCGACGCGAGAAGTCAATAACAAACAGTTATTGACTTGCTCGACCAAAGTTTCTGAGGTCGTTGCCGGCCCCACCGCGAAACTCCCTCTACGCGGGACGGAAATTGCAGCTTCTCTTCCCCGCCGACTTCCATGACTTGGTACTGTCCCCATGGCTTGCCTTATAATTTCTTCACTTGATTGATGCCTCTAAAATGCAAATTAACTGTAGCAGGAAATAACCCCAGTAACGTTAAACATATTGGGAGACTAACAATAAGGCAGCAATATCTACCAATCAGCGGTTGTTATTTATTATCCTGCTCAATTTGTTACCTAGGATTTTTAGTAATTGTGCTGGTGAAAAAAAAAAAAAAACAGGATTTTTAGTAATTGTAGTTTCGATTTGGGAATTCATGAGAATTCTTCTAAAAATATATTAACTCCAAGGTTCATGGCAATATGAAAAGTCATTTGACTTTTATTTTATTTTTAAATATAATACAATGATCTATTTTATTTTTTATATTTATTTATTTTTTAAAAATAATTTCTGTAATAATAGTAGTTATACCTAATACAGTTGATTAATAAGGATATTTTAGAAAAGATAATACCTATTTATTACAAATAAAAAAAATTAACTAATTTCTTTAATTTATTCAAATTAGTTAATTAACTTTTATATGAAGGAATGGAAATAGTATTTCTTAACATAAAACCTATTTAATTAATTTGGAAATATTAACAAAATTAGTTATTTGTAAATAAATAAATGTCTTTTCTAAAATATTCTTATTAGTTATATATATATATATTTGAATTACTTATTGATAATAATTTTTTAAAATAAGTAATTATTATAAGAATTATTTCAGGATAAAATAATAAGTATTAAAAATAAAATGAATTAAATGAAATTAAATCTATTAGGTAGTAACATTTTAAAATTAATAATAATTATCTTATGACTTGATAATAATTTAGAATTGGCGGTACAGAGCGTCTCTGTCTCTGAAAGGCAGTGTAATTTTTTCGCTTCGAATTCTGGTTTTTTTCCTCAGATTTCACTTGGTTTAATCAGTTTTTGCTGTAATCCATAGTCTATTTTTAAGTTTATTTGCATATCTTTTTCTGGTTTTGTTACCTGCGTGTGGTTCTTTTCAAACATGTTGCTGCCTAGCTGTAGCGAAGAACACCTGTTCTTCTGCAAGAACCGCTACCTATTTATTCAAATTATGGATGATCGTCATGTTCATGCATCAAAGCTTCAATCTTTGATTAATTTATAGTGGATTGTCAGAGGTGGGGTTTGAGTTCCTCAGCAATATCTAAACTGCTTTCTGGTTTTCTTTGAGGATGAACAAGATGGGTCTCTAGTCCTTACCCATGGCTTTCGGCTGCTTCAAGAATTCACGTACGGGTTTTTGAGTGGCATCCGAATGTGCCTATAGCTAATGTTCACTTTCAGTTCATCCATGTTCGGGTTCAAATACTTGGTTTGCCTCTGAATTATACTACGCGGGGTCTGCTGCCAAGTTGTTAGGAAATGCAATGTTTTAGGATTTTTCTTGATTTTTGACAGTTCTTGCTTGTAGCCTTGCCAGGCTATTTTTCTATTTCTCAAGTCCTTCCGATCCAGACTCAGACTGGCTCTGAACTTTGTTTATCCTTTCTCATTGAAAATGTTAGCCGGCTTTCCAGACGCTGTGAACGGTTGGGTTTGGAGTCTGAACGTACTCTCGCTTACTGTTCTAAGGCCGTTAATGGTCCCAAATTTCATAGCTGGTAAGGTTATTGGACCTACGTCAGCCCAATTAACTTTTTCAATGTTTAAAGGCCACTGCACAAGGGACATTCGGCTTCTCGTCTGGTCCTATAATGTTGTTCCTCATGCCGCATGCAGTTCATCGGGACCGGGTTATTAGAAGCAAGGTCTTATGGATCGTTCTGGTCAAAAAAAAGGTCTTATGGATCGTAAATATGTGTTGTGTTTCGAAGGCAAACAAAAGCTTTGCCTGTGTTTTGGATGAGCACCCCATCAAGCAAACTAGGACAAGGAAAAGATTCGCCAGTGTCATGAACATTACGTCAAGCGAATTAAATTGGTTAAATCTAACTAAAGAGGAGTCCAAGGAGGCAAGGGTATCTCTGAAAAGGAAGTGTTGGTCATTATTGATTCATACTAAGGTATTCAAATGGGTGTTTAGATAAAACCAAACTATGATTTGGAGAATAACTTCCGGATAATAGATTTTTGGGGGAATAGATTTTATGAAGAATAGATTTTGTAAAAAAGTGATTATGATAAATTGAAAGTATTTGTATAATTGTTATCAGAAACACTTTTTATATATGTAAATTACTAAAAAAGACATAAGTTAATATAATAATTACATAAAAGATAGATTTTATAGTATATTTTAATTTGAAGAAATAAAATTGTTAATAATATATTTTTCACCAACATAAATATATAAGATAATGTAATTAATAAATAATTAATGTGTATATATATTTATAAAATATAAGATTAAAAATGTTTATAAGAAAATAATTGAAAGGTGTTAAAGTCATATTATCATTGAGATCGATTCTAACAAGTACAATCATACTCTCCAATTTGAACCAGAAGTAGAATGGATTTACTTTTTTTTTTTTTGAGTAGGATGTTATCGCTAACTCAGGGTATCTCAGCGTATCGGCCAGACTAATCCCAGGGTGCCTCGCCAGGAATCGAGCCCATGACCCGGTAGGAGAACGCGCCTTGCGCCCCCGTTTGCGACCAGTCGGACCCAACCCTTGCGACCAGTCAGATTTACTTTTTTTTGAAACCATAGTTTTGTACATTTTGCCTAAAATCATGGTTTGTTAATTTTCCTCCTATTTGGCAAATTGTTTGGGTCTCAAAAACATGGTTTCTTATATTACCCAAACAGGCCCGCTGGCAGCCTGAAAAATAGACGTTTGGAACGATATGACGAGACTGCTTTCAGCCAAAGTCGAGTAGGAGAGGCCAATCTAATGGGGGCGGTCAGTGTCAAGGCCTCTATTCTCTCTCTGTGGCTTTGTAAGCCTTCTGCCAAAAAGACCTGCTTTGAAGCCAAGTGAAAAATTGCTTCTTCGGCTGCTGTGGAATGAGCAGTGCTACAGCTGCTCAAATTCTTGAGCTACTCATGTTTAACTTATGGTTTTTTGGCTTTGCCTACGTAATGTTCTATTTCTTTTACGGTGCTTTTATTATCTTTGATCAGCTTTCCTCCTCAGCATCAATTCATCAAGGTTTTTGGCACTTCTTTGTGGCTTTTGAGCCATCTTTGTCTTCTCAACAAGGTTGTCGTGCTAAAACCCCTTCTAGTAGCTTGGAAGCTACCGTCAGTCATGTGTTAGATGGTGGTTCGTAGTGGCATTTTTTCCTATCTCTTGTCATATTAATGTTATGCATCTTGGGTCTTCGAACAGTGTCTGGATTGGTAGGGTTGCAGCTGATACAAGAAAGGACTCAAGTTTTGGCTAGTCTTTGAGGTGCTGATTTTCTTTATACTCAAGTTGGTTGGACGCGTGTTGCATATCTCTCTCTCTCTCTCTCTCTCTCTTCTTGTTGCGGTCGCTGTTTCCTTTTTTTGGCGTGTTGTTTTTGTTGTTGATCTAGGCAGGCCTTTTTTATGGGGTTATTTGAGTTACGTTCAAATGGGCCTCTTGTGATAGGCTGACATTTTTAATTTCAATGTTTTTATCTTGTTTTTAATGAAGTTGATCTTTTTATCAAAAAAGATAATAAGTTAGAATTTTAATTTTAATATGTTGATTTAAATTTTACTTTGAAATAAATTCCAATTCAAAGTTTTCTGATACTATTGGACCATTTGATCTTTGATTTCAAAATTGCACCTTTGTAATGCATTTCATATCGGGAGGGCTAGGATTTTATACAATGAAAAGATAATCAGTTACTCATCCTTACATACTTAATAAATTTACTTAACTAATATCATTTTGTCTTGCGTTAAAAAAATAAACATTGATTCAATCATCTATGATTAGTTATTTACCGATCGTTTGTATTAATTTTTTCATCAGCATTATTTCACCCTAAATGCTGACGTAGAAGGAAAAAAAGAAAACACATGATTGGAACAATGGACATAATAGTTTAATAATAAGAGTTTATTATATGTATAGAGAGAGAGAATAAATCATGTAAAAACATTCATAAGATTTTACATATCCATGTTTAGGAGTACTTTCTCCACCCGCTCATCTTAAATATAGATTAACTAATTTATAAATATTAGAAAAATTTGTTAAATTAATTATTTGTGAAAATGTGTATTAATTTCTTTAAAGCATGACTTTAATCCCTTACCCCAAAAAAAAACACGACTTTTAATCATTTATATTGAAAATTATTTTCTAATTAATTTTTTTTAATATATGCAATTAATAATGAGAATCCAAGAAAAAATTATAATTTAATTGATAAAGTGGATTGATGTTTTATATGCGCAAAATAAATTTATGGAACGCGTTTCCCTGCTCAGCGGGAGATGAGCACCGATAGCTCATCTCCCATGCGCACCGTTTCATTGAGTAAAAAAAATAACATGTACCCTCCAAAACAAAACGCTTCTGCTGCCCTCTTAGGCGAACATTATTTCAGCGCAACACTGGTAACTTAGGAACCTCCCAAATAATACTGCATTCCTACCTTAGGAATTTTACTCTTGGTGTATTCTTTGCTTCTATTCTTTAATCTCGTTGAACATTATTTCAGTTGATAAAGGCTCACAACTATTGGTGCATAATTTTTTGCATTGATGTGGTGCCAAACTAGACTTCATGTCAACTTTGTCATAGTTAATTGCAAGAATTAGTTGTTTTAGAAAATGAAGCATGCTGATTTAGTATAAAAACTTAAAAAAAATTTTCCTTGTGCGATGCACGGACTAGAATATTTAATCAACTTTTAAATTCTAATAAATTGTATTATTTAAAGTAGCTCAAAATTCACTTCTTTTAGAAGAGTGATTTTTTTTCATTCATTCAAATAAGATTTGAATTAAAAATTCAGAAATTAGGAGAAACATATAAAAATTTAAATTTATTCATTTATTTGTCCATTTAAGCCCCCAGTTGACATACTCCCTCTGGACCTAAATACAGACTCATTTTGTAGTGTAAATTACACTACAAAATGGGTCTTATATTTAGGACCGGAGGAGTATTATTTAATTATTATGCTTCTCATTTAATTGAATGTATTCAAATCCCAATTAAGATATTATTCAAATCTAAAATTAATTATTAACTTTTCTCTCCAATTGAAATCCCATTCAATAATGATACTCCTTATTTAATTCAATATATCCAAATTCTAATCAAAATATTATTTAAATCTCATCAATTGAAATCCCATCCTACAGAAGTTTGTCCTTTCAGCTTTGCAAAAAGCCAAAAAGCGCTCATTAAAGCAAAGTAGCCAAAACAAGCAAAGCAAACTATCTCCAAAAGTTAGAACTTGTTATGATAGGCAATGATAAGCCATAAAGTAGCGAGACGAACGCTATAATAGTCTCCAAAAGCCATAAAAAGTCATGAGTGTGTTTTACTCTCCTGTATGAAAAAAAAAAACCATGTAATATGTCAAGTCCGTAAACAGGCTAAAATGTACAAAAAAAGCAAATTGTATATGATATTGTTGAACTGAATAAAATGTTATTTTTAAATTGGGTGCATATATTTTTATATTTATTACCTTGCATATAGTTTGGCATGAGATCTATGGCTTCAAGTGATGGAATTGCAATACTTTGTGCCTATATTTGCAAAGGGAAATGACAGTGACATTAAAGTATAAAAGCTATATACAACACTTAGTGATAAACAGTTTATCAATTCATACCATCAATAAACTTGTATATGACAATGGTTGTGACCTAGAGGGTGGAAAACCATGTTGTGTTGGAGAAACAGAGAATGAAAAAGTTGAGTCTTGTGTTTGTGAAAGTTGTGTTGAAGCTTCTAAATGTGAGATTGTTGAAGCTTGAGTTTGAATATCCTTCATTTGTGATGAAGCCTTTTGTTTTTTCTTCGATGGCTTCTTAGATGATGAAGTCTCTGGAGGGTCCTACAAAACATAACTATAAATATAAATATAGAGTAAATATTAGTTTTTTCCTTATATATGAATTAAATTTTAATACCTTTGGTGCAACTTTTCTTCTTTTTTGTCGATTTTTCTCTTCCCAACCTTTGTGACGTTTCTTTCTAAATTTTCCATCTCTTTTCTTGAATCCCTTTGGCATATTTTCTGGCTCCATGACTGGTTCAAAAGTATCATTTTCATTATCTTGAGTAAACTCTTTTTGTAACTCAATAATACATTTATGAACACGAGCAAATCCCTCAGGAGTAATAGCAGCCTGTGTTGCCAATCTTACCATACTAATCACCAGTTGTCTGTATCTTCGTATTGTGTCAAGTCTAGGATCTGCTTGTATCTTATTTCCTTTGATATCATGGACAATCCCATTCCTTGCTTCCTTGGTCCACCGCTTGAGAATATATTGTTCAGGCATAACTCTTATATCTTTGGACTCATATACTTTCAATGCATGGCAACATAATATGCCAGTGGCCTCAAATTTCTGACAACTACAACAAATTTCATGTGTCTCAGGGTTAAACTCAATTCTCCATTCCCCCTCTTCATCTATCATATGGGCCGTGTATACAAACAATGATTCTTTCTCATCACGTTCAATTAATTTTACGGAGAACTGGAGGCCCCATTGTTCCTGGAACATATCAAAAGCAGCAGGGGTATAAAATTGCACAAGTTGGCGCAAGATAGGTGCACTTTGATTGACCATCCTCGGTATCTTTTGTCGAGATTCATACTCAAGTTGTAACTCTTTAAATCGTTTCTTTTCTACAACTTTATCAAATCTCTTGAAGAATCGATTAATATCTAATTTTGGCTTTGTGCATCTCTTCACCTCAGCATTCACACTTTCACTAACCTATGTGCTTCTCATACCTAGTGTGAAGGCATCTTTCATATAACACCTGGCCTATTTCTCCTTAATATTGTAAGTGGAGTTCAACCATCCATTTTCATGGACATTGTAAGAAGATAACAATTTACTCCAGGCTTCTTCAAATTTATCCACTTGGACATAATCAAACATACATTTTTTGAAGTCAGTCAAAAAGTGTGAACCTTCTTTCATCAAGTTCCCAAGGTGTTTAATGCCATTTTGTAATAAATGCCAAGTGCACAAACAATGTCTTGTATTAGGAAGTACTTCACTCAATGCTCTAGCCATAGCTTGATCCTGGTCAGTAAACACTGTTTGAGGCTTGTTTTGTGTGTGAGCATCTAAGAAAGTTTCCAACAGCCACTTAAAAGACTCAATGGTCTCATCATATAACAACGCTGCTCCAAAAATAACCACACTTCTATGATGGTTAAAACCAGAAAAAAGTGCAAGGGGCCGATGATCCCCGTTTGTACTATATGTCGTGTCTAGTGATACAACCTCACCAAAATGTGCATAATCTTTTAACATACGAGCATCTGCCCAAAACACATTGGTAACTTGGTGTTCCATATCCAATTGGTATTTGTGATAAAATGAAGGATTTTCAGCAATTCGTTTTTGAAAATATTCAAGAAGACATCCCACCTCTCCAAACTTTATATGCTTTCGCCTTTTCTTCATCAAGTAGTTCCTTGCATCTATCATGGTATAACCAAGATTTTCTTGACCACCAGCATATGTACTCATTAAGTCAAAAGCTTCCTTAGGTTCAAGCCCAGATTCTTCTGCAAGATCTACTTCATGAGCCTGAACTTCTGATAAATTTCTCTGTGATGGTAACAAGTGCACTGTTTCTTGTGTATGAAGGGGGTGATTGTGTTCTTCATTAAACTTGGTGATTTTGAATTTTTCATCTATACGAGATACAACCATTCTTGCCTTGCAATTGGTTCTTATCTCAGGCCGATATCTAGAAGTGGTTGTCTCTCTTCTATCTTTTTTCCGAATACCCTCCTTACAACATACATATCTATATGTAATAATGGAACCATCTTTTTTACTCTTTGTTCCATTATACTTTCTAACTCCAAACCCAATTTTACTCCCATATTCATTCCAAAAGTTCCAGGCTTCATCTAGACTTTCAAACTCTCTCCCTATTTCGAGTTTAAATTCATCTTCCATGATATGGTTCCTATATACGATAAATATATCACAATTTAAAAAATATCATCAATAGGAATTTGGAATTTTATGAACTCCAAATATACAAAAAAAGGATCAATTTTCAAATACCATTCTTCAAACAAAAATATAAACACAAGTTATAGGTTACTCACATAATAACATTAACAAGCTAAATCAGAAAACAAAACCATCTAAAGCCACTTTAAATTTCAATTATATATAATATATATATAATAATAACCTGCATATGACCCCATTTTAATATATATGAAAATATATAAATAAGATTGTTAGAGAACGCAAAAAAGATGAAAGATAAGAAACCTTTGATGCTTTCTTCTCGCAAAGGTCTGAAATCTGATGCCTTCTTCAATCTGAAATTTTTTCTGTACCGAAATTCAACTTTTTTCCCACCGAAATTCAGTTTTTTTCCAGTTTTCAATGGCACCAAGTGTGGTAATTCGCTTTCTCTTGCGTCGGCTGGAACGACAAATATTTTCCCTAGGAGCGCAGCAGAAGCGTTTTGTTTTGGAGCGTACAGGTTTTTTTATTTTATTCAATGAAACGGTGCGCATGGGAGATGAGCTATCAGTGCTCATCTCCCGCTGAGCAGGGAAACGCGTTCCATAAATTTATCTGTTGAGAGGATGAAGTGATATCTAACAATAAACCTCTACATGATGACTAGAAAGGTTTGTGGGTGATAAAATTAAAAAATAAATAACATTGAGAAATCTTTTTTTTTTTTTTTTGTGAACAGAAACTATAAAGTTTAGACCAATGGAGATTGGGTCTAGTAAAAGGGATTATTCTCTTATAACAAGACAAACCAATATTCAAATTTCCGCTAAAAAAAGTACTTATATGTAGTACCCGATAATACTTTGAATAAGACTGCCTCTAATAAAAGAATAGCTGTACATGGCAAAAAAAAAAAAAAAGAAACAATAAAGTTTAGATGGTAAATATTTGAGGATTAAGCCGCTAAATAACTTTTTAAAAAAAGAAAAAAGATGTAAACTCAATTCCAAATGTTGAATTAAGGAGACATGACACAATAGTCTTAATTATGAAGAGGGAAAACTTATATTAAGAGATTTTTAAATTATATTTTTATGTTAAGCTTTACATGATTAAAATTTAAAGTTTCAGTATTAATACTTAATAAGGCCAACAAATATTAATACTTAATAATGGTCATGACAAAAGAAAGTTAGGAAAAATAAAATTCAAAGTCTATATAATTTTATCTAACTGGGAATAAATCCTTATAGTTCAAATTTTCTTAGGCCACACCTTACAAGTTCTCTTTTTAATGCTACTGGTCATCATTGTCCAAAAATCCAGAAACAACATCCTCAAAACCACGTTCAGATTTGGATTACATGAAAAACAAAGATTGAAGTGGCATTTTAATTACAACACACACACACACACACACTCATATGCTTAACATTCAAGCGTACAAAATTTTACTGCCCTATGCCAACGTGAGAACGCAAAATCTAGTTTTGTAGATAAAAGAAATTATGATAAGAAAATGTTTCCTTTTTACGATTAGCCGTAGTTGAACATGAATTATTCAGTATTACTAGATGATAAATAAAAATCAGCTTCACATTATTATTATTATTATTTTTTGCCGATGTCATCTTCAGATATTTTATTAGCTAAAATATATTTTTAGTTCTTTAATTTTATAAAGTATATTTTTAATCTTTTAATGCTAAAATCATTAACAAAAAAAAAAGATGATAAGATCTTCAATGTTGATAAAACATTTTCCGATGTTAACATATTAAATTTAATTTTCAAAATAAGCATGATTCTTATAAAAAAAATATCATTTTAAACTAAAAATTTTATGGTTAAAGAACTAAAAGTATGTCTTTTAAAGTTAAGGGACCAAATCGAAATATTGTATAAAATTAAAAGACCAAATGTATATTTTTACTTTTTTTGAATTAAAAAGGTTCACATTAATGTTGGGGGGAAAAAAGAAAAGCTTCACATTAATCAAGATCCTTTGAAGTATAATTTTTTAGGAAAAATTAATCATTTGATTTTATAATTTTAACTCGATTGTAACTTAGTCTTAAATTTCAATTCAGTATAACTTAGTTCCTATAGTTTTAACTTAATCGAATTCTGGCAAAAAAACCAAATTGATGGAAACTTAAACTTTAACTCAGCACAACTATGTACGTATACTTTTAGCCATTTAAAACTGTAACTGGTGTTTGAAAAAATAACGTTAGTCTTTATAATTTTTTTTAAAATATAGAAACTAAGATTCTAAATGTTTTAAATTATAGGGTTTAAGTTGTATCAACTTAAAGTGTTTCGAGATTGAAATATTAACCAAATTAAAATTATAATTCTTGATTTATATCTCGTTAAAGTTCAAAAACTAAGTTACAAACTAATTCAAAGCCAAAGAGTCAAATGATTATTTTATTCCATTTTTAGTTAATTATAACGCAATAAACATTTTTAGTTAATTATTACGCAATAAACAATAAAAATGTGCAGAGAATTTACTAATTATTGTTCTTATATTCATTCGCTCCCTTTTTTTTTTTTTTTATAACAAAGGAGCTCAAATTAACTGCTACTAGCATGAGCAGAATTATTCGTGTCCTTAACTAAGAAAGCATCTAATTGAACAAAAAAAAGGTGAAGCTGCACCCTTCCAAATGATCTAACCCTATATGCCATAATCAATCTATATATCTCTAATTATTTATTACATTTAAACTCTACAATACAAAATTTAAAATCTGTCTCTCTAAACTAAATTAGAGAATCTATGTCCATAAAGAAAAAGTGCGAAGGGAAAAGTCAAAAAGAACAAGAAAGTCTAAGAATCCTTGCCAGCTGGTTTTTTTTTTTTTTTGGTTGCCAAACTTGCCAGCTGGTATGATTTGGTGATATCATCAGTAAATCGATGGTTAAATTTGTCTGATCTTAACAACTTCAATTTGTTTTATTTCATAATCTTTGAAAAACACAATCCTAATCTAGTGGTTTGTCCAAAATCGAAGGAAACTAACCCCTCAACCTCTCAATTCTAATGTAGCCTTTCTCACAGGGTTCAAAATTGATGGCAATCTCATTTTGTGGGGCCTGCATGCCAAGATAAGTAGATAACAACTGGCTAATCATCTTCATAATTAAGGTCTTCTCCTTCTACGCAATTTGTATAAATGAAGCACAAAATTGAACACAACTATGTTTATTTCTTTTTAATTTGTATAGGCTTTAAAGATAATCTGAATTTGTTGATCTCTAGTTTTCTTTCATCAAATTGAACCTACCTTTACACACACACAACCAACCACTTTTAATTGTCTATAGTTACAACAAGTTTGAAATAAATCTAGATATATTGATGTCTCTGTTCTTTTCACTATCTACATATCTCATTGTTGCTATTTGGTGATATAAATAGTAAGAGGGTATGTAAATATATTAACAACTCAATTTGTTTTATTCATCTAATCTTTGACTAACACAATCCCCTTTTTGGCCAATATGAAGCAAAAGGACATAAACTTATGGATTTTGGATGTTATTTAGTGGGACTATTTCGCCGAATCAACTAATTCTTAACTTAATATAAATTATAATTAATTTTAACTAAATAAATATCATATTTAATTTAAAATTCATCTTATCCAAATTCAAGATATCTTATTTAATTAAAATACTATATGTGATTGAAAAATATTCCTAATATCTATCACAATCGCTTATCCAATATTCAAAGCAAGGATAATATATTAGATTTTTTTACTATAAATATATCACACAATTACTCATTAAATATGGCCAGCCATATATTTTTTGAAAAACAAAGCGAGTGAAATTCTCTTTCTTTGCTCATGAGGGTGTATCTATTGTGTTGTGTCCAAATAAAATAGGCTCTATTGGTCTATTCATGTGTGAGTATACCAATAGATCCAAATTAAATCAGACGCGTCTTCTTCCTAACATAAACCATGATGTAAAGGAAAGTTACCACTCAACTTTTATAGTCTAATGCTCCCTCTGAAAGCGTTCAAAAATGATGGCAATCTCATTTTGTGGGGCCAACGCCATGATGAAAACCACTAGTTTTTTTTCTTTTTCATTTAAAATTTTCCCCAACTCTAATTAGAAAAAGATAAAAGTTTCATCGATTTTGGACATATTATTCTAATTTCCTTTTAATTGATCTCCTTTTCATTTTTTTTTAATCAAACTAGACTGCCCATTGCACAAATTGTATGATTGGAAAGAACTAGATAAGTTGGTATCTTCTACCCTCAAAATAGGCCACCATTATTATATGATCTACTTCTCTTTAATTACATGAATAATATATTGAAAATAATATATGCTCCCTCCTATCCTTTTTATAAAGTACAAATAACCAAATCACATAAATTAAAAAGTTGGCTATACATATCTCTTGCAAAGAAGAAGATGTCATTCCTTAAAAATTCTCATATATAGGACCAGAGGGCAGTATTATATCTCTCCTTCCTCTTCACCATATTGTTTTTCATTGGCATTATTAGGTTAATTAATTTGAAAAGAGCGACACAACCCCGCAAAGAAAGTTTTTTACACACACACACATCTATGGAACAAATAATAAGCAAGCTTAACTTGGCATTATCCACTTCACTGATAGCTCTAACAGAAGCTACACACAAGCTCTCGTACTTCATAACTTTTCCATATCATGAATATGACAGGAACTAGGTAAACCCAAAATGTATGCTTTAGTAGAATTTAACTAAAGAAACCATCATAATTAACCCTATCCTCTAACGTATCACTGATCTAATTAGATCAAGGCTGAAACTCATCTATGTTATTATTACCCTCAAGCCCCAGCTGGTTCTGATATCCTTGCATGGAGTTATTGTTCTCATAGTAGTATTTCCCACCTTCCATAAACCTTGTATCACTCATTCCTTGCCTCTCACCGTTATACTGACGATACCTATGATCATATCCGCCATTGTTGCCGTTGTAGAGCTTCTGGTTCTTCCTCATCTGATTACTCGACATATTCTCGTATCCTCCTCCTGTGTACCTTTTCTTGTCCAGATCATTACCATAGGCATCCTTGTAGTAGTTATTATTGTTGTTGTTGATGAAATCGTTCTGGTCTCTGTTATAGTACGAGTACTTGTTTGGATACTTTCTCATGTACTCCTCCTCAGACTCAGTCTTGTAAGGCTGGTATGTGGTGGTGGTAGTGGTCGGACCGGCGGACTCGTGGCCATAGAGGCCATAGTTGTTATCAATCTCAGGAATGAAGACGGGCTCTTGCTGATCTGGCTTGTTCATCATCACAGGTTCTTCTTTTTCGTTGGGGAGCTCGGTTTCTTCACCATTATTCTTGTCGATAACGGGATGTGTGACTTTGCTGAAGAACTGACTGTCTCTGGCGTGGATTTGCAGAGACGACAAGAGAAGTATTGTGAAGAAGAGAAAAGAAACCAAGTTTGAGGAGAGAGCCATGGAAGAAGATAGAAGATTTGGAGCGTGCATATTATACTTGTAAGTGTCTTTATTTATATAGAAGACCTCGAAACAGAATCTATAATATCATGTGTGTGTGTGTGTAGACAGACAGACTCAAATGGGACGGAGGCTTTTGTGATGATTGTGGTCCCCGGGCTGTGCTTGATGCACTTTATGTAATCGATGAAATGGGCCATTATTTTTCCTTCATGTTGTTTTTTTTAATCATAATTTACGATATATAATTAAATGACCTTGTCAGGACTCTGCCAATTTCTCGATGGAAAACATCACTACAAGTTGCTAATCTTTGCTAGTACAGTTTTGAGGGGTAAAAAAAGAAACAAAAGCACGCTTCTTTAGGTGCTTATCAGCTCATCAGATCTAAACTGTCTAAATCTGCCGTGGATAGTTCAAATTTAAAATTTTTAATTAATTATTTTTAAATAAAAATTATTTTTTAAAAATAATATTTAAGTACTTATTTTTATTTTAAATTCTATACACGTTGAAATAATCATTTTAAATTAAAAAAAATAAAAAAGGGATCAAATATGAACTATTAGAATCAAATTTGGACAATCTAAATTTAATGAGTTTGGCATGCTCATCAAATTAGTGATAGGCACCCAAACTGGTTCGATATTCAGAGCACTTTAGGTTTTTTTCCCCCTTGAAAAAACAATTGCTCAACAGAACTAGTTATCACAAAACCAGCACATTTACGTTTTTATGAGTAGCTATAGCGAGAGTTACAGAATTTTAAAAATAAGCAACTAGCTAGTGTAAGGAGTGTGTTAGAAGAGGAGTGAGATTAGAAATGAAAAGGCTTATTTTCGTAACGTGTAAGCAAATTTTTCGGTCATGAAGGCTTAAATAACTGCAAAAACTTCGCACGGTTTTGGCTTTAGGAACAATATGATCAAGAAAATCCCGAGGTTGATTACATTCAATGAGTTTGTTCATGTAAATCCCAATGGGTAAATCAAAATTGATGATTGCATGTCCTTAAATGGCGGGGCACATGATGGTGTTCTCAGAAGGGCAAGGGACAAATAAAACTAGAGTAGCATATGAAAATGGGTAAGAAGTACAGTTAAATTTTAACCAACTCAAGAAGTCTCTAATTTAAGCTGTTGTGTTTTATGTTGAGAGAGCTTTTCTTTAATTATCTCTTGCAAAAAAAAAAACCATCATTGGTCCTTAATATATGATCTAGTTGATTAATTTGTGGAGAATAAGAAAGTTACTAAATTATTTAATTAAATCATATGTTACATGAAATCTCTAAAATACTTTTATAAATGAGGAAAATTAGTTCCGAAAAAAACAATAAATATAAATATTTCAAAATAACTAATAATTGTCTTAATTTTTTTAAATTAGTCAACTGAATCTTATATTAAGAACATAACGAGGCAGTAGTAGCTGTGTACGATTAATAGACTCAAAGCTATATCCTGCAACTGATGCGGAGATTGTGGAGTGAGTGAGACGTGAAAATAGTGGGATTTCATTAGTGCACACACTCCATGTGCCCTCTAAGCTTTGTCCACAACGTGGAATGCAGCTATATACGCGTTTTTGTCATGAACGCCAATTCAGTTTCGGCCCTCTAATATTATAGATAATTGCTATAAATTAATATTTTTAATATTTTTATTTTTTGCCAACAAAAATTAGCATTTGCATTAAAACCTTTAATCCACTAACCAATAGGTGTTGGTCTTAGTAGTTTTAGCTCAACAAGTTTTGACCGCTTAAGTATGAGGTCTCAAATTTTAGTCCACGTGAATGAACGTAGATTCCAGTAAAGCCAATATAACTACCCATTATTTATGAAATACTACCTCCGGTCCTTAATATAAGACCCCGTTTGACTTTTAGTTTGGTCCTAATTATAAGACCCCAATCCATTTTGTCTCTCATATTAATGCATTTTTTCCCAAGATAGTCCTTCTAATAATTATAGTTCTAACCAACACACTTAATTAGCAAAGATATTTTAGGAATGACAATACTTATTTGTTACAAATAACTAACTTAACTTACTTCCTTAATCTCCTCAAATTAGTCAACTGGGTCTTATAATTAGGAACGGAGGTAGTATTATGCCTATATATGTAGATTAGTTAGCCTTCATAATCAAGCTGGCTACATGTAGCAAAACAATGCAAGAAGCATCCGAGGCTGATGATGAACTGGCAGGCATTTGCCAATATATTTATTTAGATCATTCTGAAACGAATGAGAAGCAAGGTTAAGTAACTCTAAACTACACAAAACGTGAATTGAAAGATCTAAATAGAGAGCTGATTTCACAATATTATAAAAAGGGAAAAAAAGTCTTAGAAAAGGAATGTTCAAGAAAGGGAATTGATAAGTTCCAACCCACAAAGGAGACAAAGGAGAGAGGCAAAAGGACAGAAAATAGTGAACAACTGGTGTAGAACAAAACACAAAAAGCTTTCGAGCGAAAAAGATAAATAAAGTGAATGAGCAAAAGAAAGTGAGTAATGATGAAGTGGGGTTCATAAAGAGATTTCAGAAGGATGAAGACAAGGGGAAATAATTAAAGTCCTCTCAAAAATTGGCAAGCTTGTTATGTTCTTGAGGATTTATTAGCTCCGTCTTTTTGTATCTGTGATGTGATTTTTTGCAAAGACTTTAGATCTCATGTTCATCTTATTTGCTGATGAACTGAGTTTGTAATACAGTGTCTGCAGTAGCGAACAATTTTTCCATAAATTTTTACAATCCCTCCTTTTCCCTTCCCTTGGCCCTTTATCTTGGATTCCTTAGGGACTGACCTGGCTTTTTATCATGTTTTACTCATTTATTTTTCTCCTAACGTAATTTAGAGTCAATTCTTTTTAATTTATTTGATATTCCTTTTAGTTACTTTGCTGACTCGGGGGACTGGTTTGGTTCTTGCTGTATTTAACTATTTATTGGATCATTTTATGCCTTCTTGTTGGTGCACTATTATCTTATTTTGTTTACTAGATGCTTTGGGATTTAATCAAGGGGCTAAATATCAAATTCACAAATCTTTTATCCCTAGAAACTAATAGTATGGTCCTAGTGAAACGGGTTTTAACCACTTAAATACGAAGTTTCAAGTTTGACTCCGTGTGAATACAGAAAATGCTTTTAAAAGAACTATTCTCAATTGGGCCAACAATGCTCAAATTTGACTTAAACACATAGCCGTATGAAAAAGTTTTGAAGCTATTGACAGAATTCCACTTGCAAATTATGTTACTGATCATAAATTTAGAGGCCTTCTTTAATAATTAATTTGTGAATTTAGTTCACCAGTACAGTTTTCCTTTTAGCTAAGTTGACTTCATCTCATTGATTAAAACAATAAATAAGAGTTCTATCTATGAGATACATAGCATTTTAATTATGTTCTTTTGATGATCATCCCCCACATTTCTGTGTTAAGGTGCAGAATGATAACAGGAGATCTAGAAATTTGATATGATTCACGTTGGTGAACCAGCCCCTTGGCCAATCTGGTCAAAAGTCTTGGATGAGTCAACTGAGTTGAATTTTATTTTATTTTTTGTTTTGTTATTGAGTCTGAAATGACATCATTTGGAGTTTTAAAAAAAAATAATAATAATCCATACTCGTGCTTTAGTAACTTTATTTTGTGGGGTTATACTTGTTGATAAATGACTTTTTATTTGAACATTATTTGATTGGTCTGATCCAGAGTTAGTGATACTTTAAACCATTGACTCTTGAACTAGTGCCTCAATCATTTTATTAGTCGATTCGATTTTCAATACCTTGATCTGCATACACATGATATGATTAAGGTGCCTATAACAGATCACCCAGCCATCTTCTTATTGTACATAGATTCATATGTTCATCATGCTATATATGCAACAATTAAAAGGGACAGACTTGAGTGCGATTGTTGAAGAGGCCTGATGGACTCCCATGAGGCAACAATGCTAATCTGATAACATTGGAAGCACCTTCTTCGACAGTGAAGAAGCCTGTGTTGGCATTAACATCTGTCTTCACAAAGCCAGGGCAGAGGCAATTGATGCACATATTGGGATACTTGTTTGCCACAATTCTTGTATAGCCAATCAAAGCAGCTTTAGAAACTTTGTAAGCTGCCATTATCTTTGGCCATCCTTTCCTCTCATGTGAACCTTCTTTCAAGTCTTTCAGAAACTCTTTCACTGCTTCATTCACTTTCTCTTCTGTCAGCTTACTTGCATCACTCAGCTCTCCTTTTGCCCATTCATTTGATAAATGCTGAATTTAATAATGTTGTGCAAATTGAAACAATGAACAACTGTCTCAGAAAATTAAAGAATACTGAGGATATATGATGTCAAACAACTATATAATACACATAAATATGAAGGTTGAAAATATTAATCCTGAAAGGTTTTAATATAAACTCCCCATAGGGTCTTATTCATAAGATACTTTCAGTAAACATTTTAATTGGAACAAAAAAAGAACCTTGAAATTTGATAACTTTAAAAATTTATCTTTAATTCTGGAAGTTTTTAATATGTGTATATATATATGAGAAACTTAATCTTTTGATCCCTATATTGTTTTACTCAATTGTAATTTAATCCTTAAATTTTAATTTATACAACAAAATCCCTATTGTTTTGATTCAGTTGAATGGTCATTGAACTTTAACTCATTATAATTCAATCCATTGAGTTCCTTTCAACCATTTAATTAAAACTTTAGTCTGTATTATGAAACTTATAGTTCTACATTCTCAAAAATAGGGACTAATATTTTAAATATGGTAAACTAGAAGGATTGAGCTTCATCCAATCAAAATTTAGGGACTGAATTGTAATAGAATTAAAAATACTGGGACTAAGTTATATTGAGTTAAAATTTATGGACTAAATTAAAATGAAATTCAAAATATAAGGACAAAAATATCAATTTTTTGTACCCTCACACAAACAGAATGAAATATTTGTGAATACCTCTTGCTTGCCCAAGAACGATGCCACATTGACAATTGTTGGTGAATCTGATAACTGTAGAAGGGGAAGAAGAGCTTCTGTTGTCCTTTTTGCGCCAAAATAATTTACTTCCAAGCATTCTTCCCCTAATTCATATGGTTCACTCATTGCTCTTTTCCTCTCATCCTCTGATAGTGCCTACAAATTAATAAGTTAAATGTCATAAAATAGCTGAGCATAATCTTGATATGTATATATTTCTAGATTTTTTTCCTGTGAAGTGCACGCAATGGTTAATTGTTAGAGAAATTTTTGACATACAAACATTAAGAAAAGTTAACTCACTCTTCCTTTTGAAATTTAATATATTCATTATATCGCTCAAACAATTAACAGTCTTAATTGAAGTAGACCAGGTGATAACTACAAATTAAGAAAAGAGGAGTAACGATATATTTTCTTTTTAACACACTAAAAAACAGTGAATTAGCAATGGAATTGTATTCCATCAAAATTTCATGGTTAATTTGCCTTTCTCCTGTAATGTGACAAGGATCAAATGAATGCTAATTTATAAAAAGCTTTGAAGAATTGAACTTCACTAACGGCATAAAGTTATAGGCAGAATCAAACTAACGAAGTTCTAATTACACGAGAACTTGCATATATGTCACTAGGTTACAAGACTATTTATTGATGAATTAAACTGAATGGTGTAAAAATAAATCAAAGGGCCAAAGAATTAAAGTCTATCCCGTGTATATAGTCTTACCTCTCCATTATTGATTGCTAAAGGTATCAAAGAAGTGTCACCATACATGACTCCAGAAATTCCTGCATTATTCACCTGCATTTTGCGACCAATATGATATCTTGATGGCATGAAACCACATATCCATATCAAGTAATGAGAATCCTCAAAGCAAATAAGAGGATTCATCACAAGGAAAACAAAACAAGCACAAGTTTATTGGCAATTGAATCATATATGCTTAATTTTTGGTCAAAAAATCATGCTTAAGTAGTACTTAAGTTTGAAAGAAACCGAGGTAACATTTTGAGCACTTGATACATATCATAAAAATCAATCACACCATTTCTTTTCTTTTTCAAAAAAAAAAGAATAGAAAAATAATACAAGAACAAGCCCCAGCAACATGCATAGACTGCACAATATCATTGACCTTATCAACAATTAAATATTGGCTAAAATACACAGAATTTCCCTAAATTTTAGTTGAGTTGCGCGTTACCTGCCTAACTTTTAAAAAAATTTAAATTAAAAACCCTGATTTTTTGTGTTTTGACTATTAACTCTCCCGCTGTTAAAATTAACGGTTTTGGTCATGTCATTTTTTTTTTATTATTATTATGTACCATTTCATCCAAAAAATAAAATTTGGTGTCTTATATATAATTTTAAGCATTTTTTGTTTTTTGTTTTTAAAAAGATATGGTCTAATAAGTATGTGAAACTTTTTTATTAAGTATTTTATATTTTTAAATATTTATTTTAAGTATACAAATATATAAGATGACGTGTCAAATGCCAAATATTACTCTTATAAATGAAATGGTATATAATAAAAAAATATAAAAAATATGACATGATCAAAATCGTTAACTTTAATGCCAATTTTAACGATAGGAGGATTGATAGTCAAAACATGAAATATCAAGATCCTTAATTTAAACTTTTAAAGGTCAGGGAGGTAAAGTGCAATTGATCTAAAGTTTAAGGGAATTTTGTGGATTTTAACCTTAAATATTTGAATGAGTTGTCATCTGCCCAATAACTTTCTGAGTATTGCAATGGATCCTTTTCAAAAGATCAACTCTATACTACTTGGTTTACCCTTTTCATCGACGCATCCAATGGGGTTTTTTTTTTTTTTTGAGTAGAGAAGTAATACAAGTAAATTTAAACACGTGTTTTCATGGTGGTGAATTCTTCTTTTGTGGTGAAATTTTGGAAAGCATGGAATTGGTGATTGAGTCAATAACTAAGAGATGCCAAGTTATCAGAAAACAAAACAAGTTTGGCAAAGGTACTCCAAGTGTTACCAAAATATCAAGTTTGCCGAAGTGGGATTTAATGAACTGAGCAAGAGAAGCCACGCTTGCAGCATCGGCAACATCAAGCTGATGGAAAAGCACAAGATCTGAAGAAACAACACCAGACTCTCTCAGCGTCTCCAAAGCTTCGAGACCCTTCTTCTCATCTCTTGCTGTGAGCACCACCTTCACCCCACCTGAAGCCAACTGCTTCACTGTCTCTAACCCAATTCCCTTGTTTGCTCCGGTTACCACTGCGCATCTGGCTTGAGTTGCCTGCGGCAGTGCCATTATTGAGGAGGAATATGAGCAACCTGCTTCTGCTCTATGCCTTCAATTAAATTTAAGTTTGGAAGGCTCTTAGAAAGGAGGATCCACACAAGTGTTCCGCAAGAAAATATCTTCAGTCTGTCACACAAGTCCAAAAATCAATAGTGCACCAGGTTCTGTGTGGGTGTTTTCAATTGGCAATGGCTATTATTTTAAGTGGCTGCGCCATGTGAGTGGATGCGTGTGGGGTTTGAAATGAAAATTCTATTTACCTGCCCTTCACTACGTATCTGAAAATACCACGTCTTTGCCATTCATGGGCCTTTTGAAGTTTCGTTAGAAGTCTGTGTGCTATGACTGGAATGGAAGGGGAAGGAAGATGAGGGGAAAAAAATATATTTTAATAAATTCAATTTAAAAATTTTTTAAAAAATGAGATTAAAAACCTTTAATTAATTTTTTTTCTTTTATCGTATATCTTATTTTTATCAAAACTTCATAACCCCATCTATCCAATCGTTTAAATCAAATTCATTAAAATTTTCTCACCCCTTATACTAAACATAGTACAAGTGAAAGTGACTTTTATTTCAACTGTGCATTTTGCAGGCTAAAGTTGTTTTAAATACCCATTCACTTTTAGATGATCCCAAAAACTCCAAATTCGGTTTAGTTCTAAACTGGGTTTTGGGGTAAAAAAAAATCATTTGATTCCAATACCAATCCAAAAATAATTTTTGCCAATTGGCTTTTGAGCTTTTAAACTAGATTTTAAAGCTGCAAAAGCCAACCCACACTAGTAGAATTTTGTCCGTTTGGTACAAAGGAAATCAAAAAGAGGGAAGAAGAGAAAAAATTTTAATGAGCTTATTTTAAAAAATTGAAGAATTTAAAAGCTTTTAATTAATTTTAATTACTCTTTTATCTTATATTTTATCTTTATTAAAAATTTAAAATCTCACTTTTCTATTTTGTTTTCTTAAATCAAGTTTTTTAGCATTTTTTTCTTCCCTCCTCTTCCCTGGCGTCAAACAGCAGGTTGGGAAAACAAGACGAGCTGGCCCTATAAAGTTGACCCTTCACAAGCTCGGACCTAAACAGACTTACCTTTTTTCAGGCCCAAAAAAAAAAAAAAAGACTTACCTTTTAAGAAGTCTACTCCTTGAACTCGCGGGCTTATAACCGATTGGGGTCCTCAAGCCTGTTCAACCTACAATAACTATTTTTATATTTCTTTTACAGAAAAAAGGTTAACACAATAAAATTTTTAATTTAAAACATGACTAATATAAAAATTAATACAAATTTTTATCCCTTAAATTTATCTTCATTTTAATTTTAATTCTTCAAGTTTTAAATTATAAATTTTGGCCCCTTAGCTTTTTTTTATCTAAAATATCAGTCCATATAATTTAATAAATACTTATGCCATTTTGTTTTTTGATGAATCAAAACTCATGATTTAAAATTTGATAGATTAAAACTAACCTTCGTATGAATTTGACGGTCTAAAGATTGACAATATTGTACTATGAATGAAAATTTCAACAGTTCCACTCACGAAAGCCATTTTTAGTAATAGCCACATGACTGTTACATTATGACAGCATATTTATCTTCCTTTTTTACCTAATTAAAATGCTCATAGTTGCAGGTACCTAATAGCTAAGAATTTCTCCTGGGTGATGAGTGAAATCCTAATGCAATAATTCGAGAAAAACTCAAATAATAAAACAATAAATTTTATAACCAAGTGATATAAACTACCTAAAAAATCATTTGTTGGCCTAGGATTAACATTGCAATAGAACTATCAGAGAGATGAAAGTTTCACAACTTACATTATTTATACTACATGCTCATATCATATGAGCTTTAATATGCAAATCTTCATTTTATTTCAAATAAACTTTGCTTTCAAATTTTACATTCTATTTATTATTTTGCTTTACTCTGAGATATATTGCTATTAAAACTCATAAATTTCTTATTCAAGTTATAAAAGTTATATAAGTATAAAAATACTCTCTTATTTAAATATATAGAATTTAAAGATATTAACACACAGCAGCATAAATTAAAACATTATGCAAAGAAAAAATTGCACTGAGGCCCCAAAAAAGAGAAAATACTGCAAAAAAAAGTCTCTAGAAATATGATAATTATTTTGGAGTTCGAAAGGAACTTGACTGCAGTAATAAAAAAGATTGAAAAGACCTTGTTGCCCCTAGTAATTTAGACCAAAAAAAGTGCTAAAAAGAGAGAATTGTAAATGTATGTTGGGATAATTTTTAATGTAGGTTGTGATAGTTGTCAATATTGTTGTTTCATCTGTTAATGGCAATTGTGTCGTGCACGTTTACATTAAAGATGATGAGTACATTCAGAAAGCATTTATTTTGTTTTTTTTCCCCATATAGGGGGGAAAGTTTATCAATAACAGAGTAGATTTATATACAATATGTTGAGGACGGTGTAAGAACAATAAATATAAAAAAAAGGAACAAGTTATGAGGAGTTGAAAGAAATTATATTATCAATTTTTTGAGGAAAAAAAGTAACTCCTTTATTTTGAAACTCCTTTGGATATGTCAATATTGTATGTCATTGTGTAATTTAAAATCATATTTTTTTAAAACTTATATTAGTAAATAAGTTGACAAGTGACAATGCAATTATTGACAAATGACGCTACAATCATTAAAAAGTGATGGTGTAGCTAAGAACAAATGATTTAATAATCTCATATCAATACTAATTGATTTTTTAATAACAATATCACATTATAACCAAAATGAATTAATGTAGAAGAATTGATGATATCATATGACATTATATTTATAACTTACTGGGTAACTTAAAATCACATTTTTTTTTAAACTAATATCAACAGATAAATTGACCAATCATAGTACAATAAGTGAGAAGTGAAAAAAGGTGTATTGACAATGAAGGATACTAATAATTACAACTAAAATATGACACAAAATCTAATATATCAGTTCAGAGCTAACTTTCATTTACAGCTTGATATACATGAAATTATGCCAATTTCAAAGCCCATCTAAATATAAAAAAAAACACATACAAATTGCATTTATCTAATACTAAACTACCCATTGGCGTGTGTTGTCACATCCATAAAAAATTTTATTCACATCCGTCCCCAAAAAATTTCCTTCACATACATTTTCAAAAAATTAGTCAGTCAAGCTAGTGAACCAGCCCCTTAGCCAATCTGGTCGAGAGTTTTATATGGGTCGACTGAGTTAAATTTTATTTATTCTTTTGCTTTCTTATTGTGCCTAAAATACACCATTTTGAGTTTTGTAAAAATAGCTATCCATCATACCCCTGCTTTAATAACCCTATTTCATGGGTAATGTACGATTGATGCATAAATGTGCTATATACTTGTTGATAAATGGCTTTTTATTTGAATATTTATGATCGCTCTGATTTTGGGTTAGCCTTAGTTTAAACCACTGACTTTTGAATCTTTGCCTCAATCACCTTATTGATCGATTCGATTTCCGGTAACTTGATCTCTTTCCACATTATATGATTAGGGTACCTATAACAGATCCCCCACTTATCTTCTTATTACATAGATTCATCTTCATACTATGCAATTAAAAGGGACAGACTTGAGTGCGAAAGTAGAAGAGGCCTGATGGACTCCCATGGGGCAACAACGCTAATCTGACAACACTGGAAGCACCTTCGGCAACAGTTAAGAAGCCTGTGTTGACATTAACATCTGTCTTCACAAAGCCAGGGCAGAGGCAGTTGATGCACATATTGGGATACTTGTTTGCCACAATTCTTGTATAGCCAATTAAAGCAGCTTTAGAAACTTTGTAAGCTGCGATTATCTTAGGCCACCCTTTCCTCTCATGTGACCCTTCTTTCAAGTCTTTCAGAAACTCTCTCACTACTTCATTCACTTTCTCTTCTGTCAGCTTACTTGCATCACTCAGCTCTCCTTTTGCCCATTCATTTGATAAGTTCTGAATTTTATTATGTCATGCAAATTAAAACAACGAACAAACCTCTTAATTAGCAAATTGAAGAATAGTGAGGATGATGACAAACAACTAAAATAGATATGAAGGTTGAAGATATTAATCATAAAAGGTTTTAACTCCTCCTCTGGTCCTATTCATAAAGTACTTTCAATACGCATGTCTAACTGGAACAAAAAATAAAAAAAATCTTAAACTTTATTGAATGTCTCAAAATTTAACAACTTTTTATATTCATTACCATTTAATTCTAAAAGTTTTTAATACCTATGGATATGGAAAAATTAATCTTTTGATTCTCAACTCAATTTTAACTTAATCCTTAAATTCCAACTTTGTACAACATAGTCCCTATTGTCTTAACTCAGTTGAACAGTCCTTGAACTTTAACTCATTATAATTAAATCCCTATAGCTTTAACCATTTAATTAAAACTTCAGTTTGTAAGGTTTATGAAATTTATTATTCCATTTTCTAAAATATAGGGATTAATATTTTAAATATGGTAAAGTGCAGGGATTGAGCTTCATCCAATCAAAGTTTAGGGACTAATTACAACCGAATTAGAAACACCAGGACTAAGTTTTACTAAGTTAAAATTTAAAAAATAAATTAAAATGAAACCAAAACTATAAGGACAAAAATATTAATTTTTTGTACCCACACACAAACTGAATCAAATATTAATGAATACCTCTAGCTTTCCCAGGGAAGATCCCACATTGACAATTGTTGGTGAATCTGATAACTGGAGAAGGGGCAAAAGAGCTTCTGTTGTCCTTTTTGCACCAAAATAATTTATTTCCAAGCATTCTTCCCCTAATTCATATGGTTCACTCATTGCCCTTTTCCTCTCATCCTCAGGTAGTTCCTACAAATTAATAGTTTAATTGTCACAAAATAGCTGAACATCATATTAAAATGTATATATCTCTAGATTTTTTTCCTATGAAGTGCATGGCATAGTTAATTGTTAGAGAAATTTTTGACGTACAAACATTAAGAAAAGTTAATTAACTCTTCCTTATGAATTTGATATATTCCTTATATCGCTTAAACAATTAACAAACAGAGAGTCAATTAAAGTAGACCAGATGATAACTACAAATTAAGAAAAGAGAAGTAACGGTATGTTTTCTTTTTAACACACTGAAAAACAGTGAATTAGCAATGGAATTGTATTTCATCGAAATTCCAGGGTTAATTTGCTTTTCTGCTGTAATGTGACAAGGATCAAATGAATGCTAATTTGTAAAAATTTTTGAGCAATTGAACTTCACTAACGACATAAACTTAGAGGCAGAATCACACTAACGACCTTCTAATTATATGAGAACTTGCATACATGTCACTAGGTTACAAAATTATTTATTGATGAATTAAACTGAATGAGTAAAAATATATTCAAGGGCCAAACAGTTAAAGTCTATTCCGTTTATATATAGTCTTACCTCTCCATTAGTGATTGCCAGAGCTATCAAAGAAGTGTCACCAAACATGACTCCAGGAATTCCTGCATTATTCACCTGCATTTTGCGACCAATATGATATCTTGATGACATGAAACCACATATCCATATCAAGTAATGAGAATCCACAAAGGAAATAAGAGGATTCATCACAAGGAAAACAAAACAAGCACAGCTTTATTGGCAATTGAACCATATATGCTTAATTTTTGGTAAAAAAAAAATCATGCTTAATTAGTACTTAAGTTTGAAAGAAACCAAGGTAACATTTTGAGTACTTGATACATATCATAAAAAATCAATCACACCATTTCTTTTTCTTAAAAAAAAAAAAGTGAATAGAGAAATAATACAACAGCAACAAGCCACAGCAACATGCATAGACTGTACGATACTACTGTACCTTATCATCAATTAAATATTGGCTAAAAGACATAAGAGTGCCCTAAATTTTAGTTCAATTGTACGTTACCTCCCTAACTTTTAAAAAATTTAAATTAAAAATCCTGATGTTTCATGTTTTAACTATCAACTCTCTCGCTGTTAAAATTGTTGTTAAAATTAACAGCTTCACTCAAGGCCTATTTTTTATATTTTTTTATTATATACCATTTCATCTATAAAATAAATAATATATACAATTTTAAGCAGTTTTATTTTTTATGTAAAAAGATATGGTCTAATAAATATGTGAAATGTTTTTTAAGTATTTTATATTTTTTAAATATTTTATTTTAATTATAAAAATATATAAAATTACATGTCAAATGCCAAATATGATTTTTATTTTTATAAATGAAATGGCATACAATAAAAAAATATAAAGAATATGACATGATCAGAACCGTTAATGGGGCATTGATAGTCATAATTCTTAATTTAAACTTTTAAAGGTTAGGAAGGTAAAATGCAATTAACCCAAAGTTTGAAAGAGTTTTATGTATTTTAACTTCAAACGTTTGAATAAGTTGCCAACCAAAAGATTCTGCTTAATAACTTTACAAGTACTGCAATTGATACTTTTCAAAAGATCAACTCTATATGTTTGGTCTACCTCCTTTATCGGCGCATCCATTCTCCTTGTTTGTAAAGTGATTAGAGAAATAATACAAATAGATTTAAAGCAGTGTTTTCATATGGTAAATTTTTCTTTTGGTGTTAACATTTTGAGAACACATATATAGAATTGGTGATTGAGTTAATAACTAAGAGATGCCAAGTTATCAGAAAACAAAACAAGTTTGGCAAAGGTGATCCAAGAGTTACCAGAATATCAAGTTTGCCGAAGTGGGATTTAATGAACTGAGCAAGAGAAGCCACGCTTGCAGCATCGGCAACATCAAGCTGATGGAAAAGCACAAGATCTGAAGAAACAACACCAGACTCTCTCAGCGTCTCCAAAGCTTCTAGACCCTTCTTCTCATCTCTTGCTGTGAGCACCACCTTCACCCCACCTGAAGCCAACTGCTTCACTGTCTCCAACCCAATTCCCTTGTTTGCTCCGGTTACCACTGCACATCTGCCTTGAGTTGCCTGTGGCAGTGCCATTATTGAGGAGGAATGTGAGCAACCTGCTTCTGCCCTATGCCTTCCATTAAATTTAAGTTTGGAAGGCTCTGAGAAAGGAGGATCCACACAAGTGTTCCACAAGAAAATATCTTCAGTCGGTCACATAAGTCAAAAATCAATAGTATGCCTATTATTTTAAGTGGCTGTGCCTCTGCCCTGGGAATGGGTGCGCGTGGGGCCAACCCATAAAAGTAGAGTTCGGAAACGAGACGGGCTCCACACGGTCTAAGGACGTGTTTGGATTCCGGCGTGTATTTGGATTGAGTTTTTTTTAAAAAAAAAAAATCAGCTTGGAAACCTATTATTTTAAGGGAAAATCACTAACAGGTCCCACAGAAAGCAATTTATTACTCTGAGGTCCCACAAAATGTCAAAATCACTGACAGGTCCCAAGGGACCTCAGAGTAATATTTTCGTTTTGTAAAATGACATTACTGCTCCTCATATTCCAGATTCACATTTGTTCTATCATTACGATTTACAACCTCAGCAGCGACTATTAACAACTTAATGAGAGGGCGTTAACAACCCTAGCAGTATCCGTTAACAACTTACTTTATAGAATTATATAACCTCTACATAAGAGTAAATTATAACCAAATAATATAATACAACAACTTTAACACTAAAATGGGAAGCTTTTTGATATCATTAAGAATTTTAACTAGATCCAATAGGATTATAGTAATATTTTAATGCGAATATCCATTTACAACCTCAACAGTGACTATTAACAACCAAATGAGAAGGCATTAACAACCTAAACAGTATCAGTTAACAACTTACTTTATAGAATTATATAACCTCTGCATAAGAGTAAATTATAACCAAATAGTATAATACAACAACTTTAATACTAAAATGGGAAGCTTTTTGATATCATTAAGAATTTTAACTATACCCAATAGGATTATAGCAACATTTTAATGCGAAAATCCTTTTACAACCTCAATGGTGAGTATTAATAACCCAAAGAGAGCTGTTGACAATCTAGGCAGTATCTATTAACAATTGACTTTATAGGATAATATAACCTCTAACAACTATATAAGATTAACTTTAAGACTATTTAGTTATAGTTTAGTTAGTTATAGTTAGAAGTTATATTATCCGATAAAGTTAGTTGTTCACAGACACTGCTAAGGTTGTTAACAATTCTCCTTAGGTTATTAATACTTACTGTTGAGGTTGTAAATGGATTTTCGTATTAAAATGTTGCTATAATCCTATTGGGTTTGGTTAAAATTCTTAATGATATCAAAAAGCTTCCCATTTTAGTGTTAAAGTTGTTGTATTATACTATTTGGTTATAATTTACTCTTACGCGGAAGTTATATAATTCTATAAAGTAAGTTGTTAACGGATACTGCTTAGGTTGTTAATGCCTTTTCATTCGGTTGTTAATAGTCGCTATTGAGGTTGTAAATGGATCTTCGCATTAAAATATTACTATAATCTTATTGGATTTAGTTAAAATTCTTAATGATATCAAAAAGCTTCTCATTTTAGTGTTAAAGTTGTTGTATTATACTATTTGGTTATAATTTACTCTTACGCAGAGGTTATATAATTCTATAAAATAAGTTGTTAACGGATACTGCTAGGGTTGTTAACGCCCTCTCATTAGGTTGTTAATAATCGCTGTTGAGATTGTAAATGGATATTCGCATTAAAATATTACTATAATCCTATTGGATCTAGTTAAAATTCTTAATGATATCAAAAAGCTTCCCATTTTAGTGTTAAAGTTGTTGTATTATATTATTTGGTTATAATTTACTCTTATGTAGAGGTTATATAATTCTATAAAGTAAGTTGTTAACGGATACTGCTAGGATTGTTAACGCCCTCTCATTAGGTTGTTAATAGTCGCTGCTGAGGTTGTAAATCGTAATGACAGAGCGAATGTGAATCTGGAATATGAGAGGCAGTAATGTCATTTTACAAAACGAAAATATTACTCTGAGGTCCCTTGAGACCTGTCAGTGATTTTGACATTTCGTGGGATCTCAGAGTAATAAATTACCTTCTGTGAGACCTGACCTGTTAGTGATTTTTTCTTATTTTAATTGGCAATGGCTTTTATTTTAAGTGGCCGCCCAGTGTGAGTAGGTGCGTGTGGGTTTTAAATACGTATCTGAAAATCCCCCATTTTTGCCATTCATTGGGGCTTTTCAAGTTTTGTTAGGAGTCTGTCTACAAATGGAGACCGACAATAGTACACAACAAATGCTCAAGAATACAAACCCCCAGATAGTGAAACAAATGCTCAATCCCCCCACACCGTTCAGAGTAACATGAATATTATGCAAAATCTGATTCTAATTTTCTGGTTTTGAAGGGAAAAAATAATTCATAGCAGAGAAAGACAGAATCTACCAACAAAATACACTGTAGATCGGGAGACCCACAAATATCTAATAAAACTAAATGTACAAATAAAAAAAAAAAGCTGAAAATGGAGATCCGTGGCAGAAACCCATGCGTTTTTTCATCATTCAATCCAGTAGCAGCCAAGAAGAAGCAGAAATAGGAACAAATCTAGGTTAAAAAACATTTGATCTCTTACTAGGTGAACAAAGGTGGCTATTAGTAGAGTAGATCGGGAGCAGAGGACACCGCCAGCAACGAGAGAACAGACCACGACCACCACTTGCAACGGACAAGCTACCTGAAGAAGAAGAGCGAAGAAGAGCACAGGCACGACTTGCAAAGAACGGAGACCAGCAAACGGACATAGGCCAATAAACGGCGACTCCCAAACAAGAACCAGAACAGGGAGACGGTGGAAGACGGCGACGAGACAATGGTGAGACGGTGAAAGATGCTGCCCTCTGTTCTGCTTTTTTTTTTTTTAACCCACGAATAGAGAAAGAACGAAGGAAAAAGTGCAAATAAATACCACCCGTATATAAAATTATGACGTGGGATTCTTAATTTAAAAAATAATAAATAAAGAACCGGTTTTATGTTTGTAAATATAAAATTATAGTGAAATGTCTAAAATATTCTTCAGTCAAATAACAAATTGATTATAAAAAATGATAAATTTATTTCAGTAAATGACAACTTCAATATACCAAATCACAATTTAGCTGAGGATATACCAAATGACGAATTAACTATGAGAAATGATAAGCTCACTTTAAAAAATGACAATTTCAGTAGACTAAATAACAATTTAACTGAGAGACATTTTAAATATTTTATTCATATTTCATATTTTACAAAAATAAAATCAGGTCTTTATTTATTATTTTCTAAATTTAAAGTCATAAATTATAATTTTATATATTAAGAGTTTTTATTTTGTCAAGAAAGAACATGGGTAGGTAAAAATTTTAAAATGTAATTAATGCTCCAATCCTTTTTTTCACCGTACTAGTGAAAGAAAAAATATGGAGCCCCCCCCTAAAGACCCATTCGCTGTCAGAAGTCAGATTACAAAAAAATATCCCAAACACACCATCCCCCAAGCACATCTTAACTTGTTTAGGCCTAACTTTCGTAAACAGTCCTATTAAGAAGTCTAGTCTTTAAACTTTCCGGCTCGTGACTAATTGTGGTCCTCAAGCCTGTTTAACCTACGATAGCTATTTTGATATTTTTTTTAAAGAAATAAAGTTAAAACAATAAAATTTTTAATTTAATAAAAATTTGGATCATTTTATTCTTTAATAGATCAATACTTATAGTTTCAAATTTAAAAACTAAAACCAATATTTATGCAAACGTGAGAGTCTAAAGATTATGGTTATGTTTGGATTGTCATTACAAAAGCTAAAAGTACATGGGAAAGGCTGTAACCGAGGTTGGTGGCTTATTTGAGGGAAAATGATTGTTTAGATGAGTTGCTTTTGGAACTGACTTGTAACCAAAAGCTACTTATTTTCGGACGCTTCCTGCTCCAGCTTTTCCACCGTTCATAATGCAATTTACCGTTGCAGGGCAATTAATGGGGTATTATTTCTCTCACCTATCATTTTCCAAAGCCTCAGATACTCGACCCCTCAAAACACTCGACCGAGCAACAAGGAGGCTTCTCTTGCTCTGCATTCGGCCTTTCCGTCACTCTCGGCACTGTCTCGCCTTCTCCATCCGTGGGTCTCCGTCCGTCGCTCTCTCCGGCGTCTCCGTCCGTCGCTCTCTCCGGCGTCTCCATTCGTGGATCTCGGCGGCTATTCTCCCTCCGCGACAAATCTGTGTCATCCTTCCTTACCAGCTTTAATATTTTCCCTGCTCCAATTAGTTCACCGAGCTCCCTCCCTCAGAACTCCCTCACTGCACTGGCCGTTCATCCCTCCCTTATCGTCGCCGGCTGCTCTCCGTCTCTCCCTATCGTCGACTGTTCTCCCTTAGTGACTGTCGTCAGCGCTTCTCCCTCATTCACTCTCCACTTTCCCCCACACGACCGAGCCTCCCCTGCTCTTGTTCCCCGTGCACGTCTCCCATTGTCTCCGTTTGAAGTGGCAACGAATGGCGATGGTGAGGATGGAAGGGAATGATGGTCTCGGGTTCTGCTCTGCCACTCGCTGTCGAAGACGATGAAGGAGGGAAAAGGTGGTGGAGTGATGGAAACGGTGAGGTTGGGTCTTTGGTGTGTGCGAGTTTTTTTTTTCCTTGGAAGGCTACGTGTGTGAGGTCATATATATGGGAAGGGGTGTTGAAGAATAGTCCTCATTCTTCCACCGTTCTGCTCCCTCCAGCTTCTTGAGAAGATGATAATGATATCCCCTGGCCCCAAATGAAAATGCACAGTTTTATTTTCTTTTTTTTTTTAAAAAAAAAATCTGAGGTCCTCCTTTATTTATCATAATAATTATCTACAATGTGTTTTTAAATTTTTCTCGGCAACAAATATTCTTATTTTAGAATTTTACAAATAAATGATTTACATTTTATCATAATAATTTATGTATTTTTAAAACTATTATCACATTAAAAACATAAAATTTCAAACACTACTATTCAATAAAGTCCATGCCCTTTTCAGTCATTTTACAACTAAACTAACTTTTCTATTAATCATCCAAACAACTTTTAACTTTTTCAACTGACTTTTTAAAAGCATCTATCCAAACATATACTAACTGACTTTTACTCTAACTTCAGTTATAAAAGTCAGTTTGTCCAGAAGTCAGTTTTACCTAACGCCAATCCAAACATACCCTACGTCAACCTTAAAGTTTAAACAATACTCCACTCAATATTGTCGTAATCTACTGTGCATACCCCCCAAAAAAAAACAATAATGTACTATGAATAAAAATTTCAACATTTCCACACTTTTTTTTTTTGACCGGAAACATTTCCACACTTATACATACTCACACACGAAAACTATTTCTAGCAATAGCCATATATATGACAGTGTTACTTTACGACAGTAGATTTATCCTTTTTTTTTAAATGAAAAAAAATCCCTATAGATATAGGTATCTGTACCTAAGAATGTTGTCCTAGGTGATGAGTGAAGTCGTAATGCAATAATTTGAGGAAAACTTAACTCTTTTTAAGAGAAAAAAAAATTAAGATGCATTATATATGTTTTAAAATAATAAATATTATAAAATTGTTAAATAATAAAGCAATAAATTTTATAACCAAGTAATACAAACTACTTAAAAAATCATTTGCTGGTTTAGGATCGACATTGCAATAGAACCATAAGAAAGATTAAAGTTTTACTACTTATATGAGCTTAATCTACCAATTGTAATCTTCATTTTAGCTGAAATAAAATTTAATTTCAAAATTTGTAGTGTATTTATTATTTTACTTGATTTGAGATATAAGTATAAATATACTCACTTATCAAATATATATATATAATTTAAAGATATTAACACATAGCATAAATTAGATCGTTATCTAAAGTCTAAATTAGTCTATTTTTTAAAAATTCAAATGCATAAACCAGGGTCCAAAACCAAACAAATCAAATTATTTTATGAAATTCAATTCTAAGAAAAACCATAATAAAAAACTTAATTTTGCTGGGCCATTAAGAGTTAGGACTCGCCCATATGGGCCCATTTACAATTCAAAGATCAAGATCGCAAGCTTGGCCTTTACAATTTTTGGCATAAACAAGGGGATCCGATGGCCTTTGGCATTGTCAGTTTCATGACTTGGCCACAATCCTTAGTTATTTTATTCCCACGAGAGCTCTTTTAATTAAGTCCACTGACTCTAACTTTAACGGAACAATAATCATGGTAAAATATCACTGTACTAATTTTTCCCTTTTTAATGTAGCAAGGCCTATGTGAACGGAACAAGGTCATAAACCAATTCACCAAAAAGAAAAAAGGTCACAAACCAAAAGGAATACGAGGAGCGTTAGGCCAGAGAACTATACACATCCAAAGTACAGCGTACGCGCTAGGCCCTTCTCTTCCTTTCAAGGATTATCCAGAGATAATTAACACATAACACCAAGCACATGAGAATGAAATACTCCTCTAATCCTTAATATAACACCTATTTAATTAATATGATTAGATGAAAAAAGTTAAATAAGTTAGTTAATTATAAAAAATGACATGTTTTTTTCTAAAATACCATAATCATCTTCTTTAATATCTTTCTTCTCTTTTTTGCTTAATTATTGTTGATAGAGTATCCATAAGGATAATTTAAAAAAAATTGATAAATATAAAAAATAAGCCTTATATTTAAAACCAAAATCAACTAAATATTTGGGTGTTATATTAAAGACTGAAAGGGTATAAGGGAATGAATGAAATGAATCAAATTCCAGTTCCTATGTGAATTAATCAACCTGCCTTTCTAAAATAATTGGCATTTCTAGTAGAGATTTAGTTAAACTTATTCTATGTACCAAAGAATGTTCTTGCTAAATGACCTCAAAGATACACAGAATAAGAGGTTAGGTTCAATTATATATGTTTGGAAAATTAGGCTTCAGAGCATAGATGAATTACCTCCTATCCATGAAAATCTTCTACGTAAAACATGAGATCATGTCAACTAGTTCTACTAGCTAGTAGAATGCTAATCATTCTCCCTGTGAAATCTTGATGGCATGTATTTACCAAAATTTACAACATAAATTCCTCTGCAGCGTCAGAACCCCATCTATGAATGCAAATAGAACTGAGATCCTCTAGCGCCATGGAAACATCAAGAACCAATGTTCCAAAAAAAGTTCATAGCGAGAAACAAAGAAGGAGGATCCAAGTCATTTGGGACAAATTTAAATATAACATCCAAACTTATCCGATGATTAAGAATTCCAATTACTGGATATGTGGTTTCTGCTGTAAACTTACCATTGTTCCACCTACTATTGTCAAAATGTTTGGTACTACTTTCTGTCTCATTGTGTGTTGGAACAGAGGTTTTAGGAAAATTACTCTTGAAACTGACTGTATAAAACCATTACTCCGCTAAATAAGGGATTACAAGTAATTACCCTTTTAGAGACATTGTTAATGATGTTAGACTCCTATATTCATAGGGATTGGCGGGTGAAGATCATGCATGCAGAATGGGTAATCAAATTGCCAACTTCCTTTCCTTGCCAAGTTATCTGATAACTACTGATCAAAGCAATTTTGTATCCTTAATCAATCTCTACCTCTGCGCCTAAAGGCAGAGAGTGATGAAGAAACCAAATGTAATCTTTTGTCTCTATGGTAATGATATGCAGCCTTCTAAACTTAACAAGCAGTGATGCCATTCATGAGCCATAAATGAGATGGATAGACTCCCATGTTATTTAATTCAGAGAAGTAAAGTTGTGC